TGGAACAGCCGCCGGGGGAGCCTCCTGAGGGAGCCCGGTGGCTTCCGAGCGAAACTGTGCATTAACCTGTGGCGTAGACGCACGTGAGGTGCGTCTCGTTTTCGCTGCTCAAGCCGAAGTCGGAAGCCGCGACAGACACCAGCGTCCCTCGGGTGGAAGAAAGAAGTGGTGACGGAAAGCGTTAGAAACGTTTGAAATAACCGATGATTCCTTTGGTCCGATTGTTGAAATTGTTTGCCTACGGTGTCGCCCGCGAGACGTTGTTCTGATAAGCACGCTACCGATGCAGGTATTTGTCGCCCTACGCTCGTTGCTAAACGCTGGTTCCTCCTTCTAGATACGTTATACGTTATTATTTATAACTTTTGCACCCGCTAGCTGCAGCGATTGGAATCGAATGAAGGGGGAACAAAGTATCCAGCTCCGACTCATCCCCGAGGCGCCTGTGTCGACAGTAATGCCACGGGGGCATCCCACATGGACTTGACTGAATGGCCTGGCACTCCATAAATTCGTGTAGACGTTCGTGCAGAACGGCTGAGGCTGGAAATACCGCCGCAACAACAATGACACGTAGCGTTGATTTGAACGACGACGAACGACGGCTCAAATCATCTCGGATAAATGGTGTTTATTAGCGAATGCGTCGGATACGCATCGCTTCGCGAGCGTTGATAGCATGGGCTACAAGTCCCTTACCGAGAGTGCCCTCGTCATCATCGACCCCACTAAGGGATTTATATTTTGATTGCTGTCACTATCAAGCTGCGATCCCGTGGCTGGAACAGCGAAGATCAAATCGCCGCCTTCTTCGATTGGAGTTCTCTCGGGTCCTCCGATTATGGCCGTGCAGTCGATGGGGGTCTCCGTCGAGCGCGTGTGCGCTTCGTGGCTTCAACGAAGACTTCGTCTAATTTCGTAATTGCTGTAGATTAGAAGTATTTAATTCGCAGTCCCTAAAATTTTCATGCTTGAGTCTTTGATGGAGCTCCGATCGTTTTGGATGAATCTATCTGACGGAGGGATCAGCGTCAAATGAAAATCGCTGCTATCTTCGGGCAACGGGGAGCTCGGCATGTCCTCACGAGAGAATGGAGGATCGTGAGATCACCTTGCGAGAGAATCCAACCGATAATGAGCTCGCGGCTTTGTTTGTTCCGAAGAATGATCATTATTTTGAAAGCTTGCGCTAAGGTTCCGCCCGGGTCTCGCTCTTTACTCTAAACTGAGCCCCAGTTATTCGGTTACTCGCTCCCTACATTTGAATGCAAGTCATTCTCCAGCTCTTCCATGGACAGTCTGTCATTTTCGTAGGTAATACATCCGTTTATGCACATGCGAGACTAATTCACGGTTCCCATCGGATTCCTTTTCCCGCGATGTCGATGCTCACAGCAGAAGCAAGCAAACGAGGGTGAATCACTCGTTGCGTAATCTTCAGGAAGGGCATGTTTGGCGGTTGGACGGACGGACAGACCGCAGGCGAACAAGTGAACGGTAGCTCACCGACTAACTGATTGGCTGGTGTGCTTTCTCGTTCGGTCGTGTCTGTGAGCGTTCGCGCGTAATGGAGTGGATCATCTATAACGAGTCGTCGATCCGCCCGTCTTTTCCGTCGGTAGTTCGGTAACAAACGGCGTTCAGTCAGAGTCCCGTCATTCATCAACGCGTAGTGTTTTGTTTGCGAAATTCATGAATATCGATCCGTGAAGAAAGTCGACTCGCTCGCTCGGTCGGAGTGACTCCCACCTGCGGGAATGGTGAATGCACAGGGGCTTCATGATTCGATTCCGAATATCAGGAAAGCTTCCCATTCGCTTCTGGATCGATCCGACGCATCACCGGTGCTGAGTGGAGCCTCGCATGAGGTTGGCGGCGCTGCCGCCGCCGCTCAAGTCGCTTTTGGTACTGTGGGTGGGCAAACGAACGGAGCGGCAGAGCCGTCGCGCGTCGGTCCGGTGATCTATGCTTCGTCTGTTCGTCAACAAGAAATGACACTGAGCCTTAGCCGCTGGCTGGAGGTGTTAGCTAGCGGTGGGCCGCTGTCTCTCATTTTCCTATCAGGCTGACCGAGTCGCTGCGTGACTGCTGTCTCATCTCAGCGGATGCTTCCGTGTTCTTTGCTTGATTGGCACTCGATTCTGGTCGTTTCTTGGATGACTGCTTGCTAACTTGCTGGTGCTTCGCCCCATTTGGGGAACGAACGCAAACTGCCGCCATCTACGACTTACGATCAGAGTGACTGACTGACTGACTGTTTGAGTGAAAGATACATGACTGGCTGGCAGACGGAACGACACTCAGGCGGACGGTCGAACGAACGAACGACAGTCTCACGGCTGCTTTTGATGTCACTTTCCGATGTGGAATCCGAGCCTCAGATTGCTACTCATTCAGTGGGTCAATCCGATAGACGTCTCTGGGAAGGTGGGCAGTCATTGCGCACTGTCGGAAGTGATTTTCGGCCCGCTCGTGTTTTGACGGAAGTGAATCGGTATTCTGAGCGAGTCCTCGCCCATGAGGACGATAGCTGACCGATCGGGGGGGGGTGTGAAGAGCCCGATTGGGAAAGCATCTCGGGCATCCTTGATCCGTCACTTTCACTCGCGATCAGTTTCGGAGCACTGATCGAATCGATGGCTTTCGGAAGTTCGCCCTACGACTCGATTAACTCCGATCCCATGACGCTGCTGAGAGGCATCTACTCAATCGATTGGTGATGGAAACCCGCCGTGGAGCCGATTGAAATTCGGTGTCACGTGGGAGCGTCCGCCGACGCTAATCACGATTTTTATTCTCATTTCTGGAAGGATTCGCTGACATCATCCGGATCGATAATCGATTCCAGCGGGGTCGCTCAATGATAGCAATCCGCGATGAGCGGCAGCGTCTAATTTCCTCCCCTGAAAGCCTCATCGTTGCTATCATCGCCGATACTGTCTCCGACGTCTCTTATTCGTGGTGTCGTTAAAATTCTCGAAACCCGTGATTTTTCGATATCATCTCCACCGAATATACGAGAAATTCCGAGTGCATTCATCTTCCTCGGTTGTATGTTCGAGTTGAAAAAGCTCCAACTGTACGGTCGATGAAATCGGGCGAAATAACTTCTTCCGGCGATAATCCTCGGCCAGTGTATAAGAGAAGCGTGGTGGGAACCGTTGTCTGGTAAGTGCGTTTGTGAATGAGGAGTGGTGTCTCAGTATTGTTTCCGGCAACGGTTGTCAGTGAAGCGCTCATTCGCCGTCGGTTTAGCGGTCGTCGAACAGTATTGTTCGAGTCGAGATCCTCGTTCATTGTTCTTCATTATTAAAACCACCGTTGGTGTAAGTCGCGGAGAAGGGACGTTCCCTTCGGAGACCCGCCCGTGCTGTTTGAACATCGTTCGAGTGGCTTTCGGTGAGTCCTGACGACGGGAAAACGATTCAGCTGGAATCCCCGATCACCAGGCGGCGTCATCATGAAATGGCGCCCGCTATACGCTCAGCGGCTCCAGAGGATGATACAGCCGCCGGAGCCGTCCTCGATTCGCTGCCTGTGACAGCCGTGGGTCTGAAAATTCTCTTGTCGGCCGGTACCGAGGACTTTCTGCCTGAAGAATGAGTGACTGACTGACTGACATGAGGCATGGCCCAAGAAACATAATATGTGGCAGTATCAACAGCACCGCTGCCGCGGAAGCAGCCGCAGATTTCCTGAACGATGGGATTTGGTTCAAACATGTCAAATAGTTTGCTCGTGGAGTTGCGTGACCCGCGTTGGTGCGCGTCTTTCGCGAAGATACGAACCAGAGATTCGACGTCGCTGGGTTCGTCAGAACAAAGTGTTCTTCTTATCCTCTTCTTCCCATTGAAATATTATGGAAATGAAGCCACGAACTCTCGCAGATAGACACCGAGCTACCGACGAGATGGACCGACGACGGCGGCGCCACACACTGACGTTGAGGTCCGGACCTCAACGGGGGCACAATAGATCGTTAGATGACCAACTCAGTCCCGAGCCATCCGTCAAATGACGATGGCGCAGCGGCTTCCACCCGATCGAACATGGTAATTCCCCTCCACAAAGGGGAGAACTTGTCGGGCGGGCGGGCGTGCGAGCGGCAACGACGACACTCGTGAATCCAGAAAGAAAGGGGACGGAAAATTAGACGCACGGACCACGATTCGGCGGAATCTGCTCCAATAAGAGCAGCGGTAGCAAGTAGCAACGAGGGTTCTTTTATTCCTAGGAATGATTGTCCGCACGAGACATTCCACGAATCGGAGCTCCAAGGGGCTCTCGCCTCTCAGAAGTCAAACTGAGCATGCATCCTTCCATTTATTCCCTCCGACATTCATACGAGCGAACGACCGAGCGGACGATCATCTATCTACCTATCTATCCATCCATCAATCGAGCAATTCGTTCATTCATTTATTCGCGAATCCTTCCGAAAACTAACGGAGCGCCGTCCACTTGACCGAATTCGGTCACTTTGCACAGTTTGAAGCGAGCGGCTTCGAATTACTCGCATCGCGACGGCGAGCGACGTCTTCGCTCCATGTGTCATTTTCCAACGGCCACTAGTCAGAAAGAGTTCTGTCGGGGCTCCCAGATCGAAGCTATCGCACTGAATTTCTCTGGTCAAGATGAGGTCAGCTAAGGAACTCCTTTGTTTTCGAACGTTGTCAGATCGATTTGATGCTGTTCTGGACGTCTTGTTCAGTCGGTCGTCGAGGTACGGGTGGATATAAACACGGAATATAAATTAGGTATAATAATAGTAGTAGGACTACATGGTGGATTGAAACGACGATTTTTCATGTGAGCACTTCTACCAAGGCTGGATGTAATGATTTGTGAAACTTGGCCACGATATGTCCTGCCAGCGACCAAAAAGACGGGAGTACATTCCAAGTCGAGCCCCGCACGAACAATCGAACCAATCCGGCCCGGAAATTCCTCGTCGTATCGGTTGACAACTTTCTCACGAACGCTGTTTCCTCCTGTTGCAGAAATGACGGAGCGTCGAGGACTACAAGCGCTCCAGTATTGGTGCCAAAAAGCCACGAGTGGATACCACGGGGTGCGTGTGAGCGACATGAGCTCCAGCTGGAGAGATGGACTCGCTTTCTGCGCCCTCATTCATCACTACCGGCCCGATCTGATGTGAGTACCGGACTGTAGGTTAACTCCTTATAGGGTTGTGGGGGGTGAATCTAGGTGATTGCGCCACAGCCTGGATAGACTTCGAGGGAGAGCTCCGGCGTCAGTACGGGAATTCTACGATCTCCTTGACTGCGAGTTCAACATATTGGAGGGCGGAAGCGGAAGCCACGTATTTCCCTCGCCGATTTCCCCGCGGATGCGGAGAATTCTCCGCTTGATGGAGATGGACGAAGACGAATGAGACAGCGGAGGCCGCTTTCTTATTTGTCGTTAAGAGACGTATATCTCCTGTCTGGATAGAAATCTTGTTTGCGTTTTCCACCTTTCCCACGATCCGACGCATGTTCTCGAAAACGATTTCATGCATATTCCGTTCTGTGGGTATTATCGGCTTTGCAGCATTTCTCGCCCATGGAGATGCAATCGATCTGAGCCGCCGCTTTTCTGTCGTCTGGCCGGTGCTCTGACGGGATCCCTATCGCGAGTGAACGACCTATCTCACGCAGAAATGTGGAACAAAATCTGGAATCGGGTGATAGCGCCGGGAAATTAGGAAATTCGGACCTCGAGGCATTCTCATTACTCGCCGTCAGCGATTTCTCAGTGAATCACACCGCTCTTGTCGACTCGGAGAACCTCCATCGTGAGCTCAAGAAGTGGAACGGGAGGCTTTGTGACTCGCGCTAGCAGGGCAAGAATTGAAAACGTTCGACACGTTTATGATGAAATCATCGCTGCATTACCAGCGAGACAAAACATCAGCGATGGCGACTACTCCCGTTTACTTAATCGGATCTGTTGTAACGAGCTCGTAACTGTTGTATGCGCTCATCATTGTGTAACTGTTTTGTCTGCTCCGTGCTTGCGCTTCCATGTGGACATCTGATCGTTCATGTATCGGACAGCAGCTCGGAAGATGTAACATCATTTGTTGGTAATTAAGCCCCGCCTTAGTGGGGTCGATAATGTTTCGCGTCGATTTGTTCGCACAGCTTCCTAGCCGAACTATTTTCAGCTCGCCGTGAGCAAGAAAATGCGATCAAAGTACACCGGTTCGCCGTCACTCAACGGTAAGGCACCAGCGGTCCGTTGGCACCTCTGAGATGCCGACCTTCGGATGACTGAAATGATAATAACTTTTGTCAAAGCGATCAGTCCCGAGTCGCCGGTCAACGACGGCAACGCTCCGCGGGGAATTTATTAGGGGATCGTTTATGAGGACGAGAAAAGTACTACAGGGAAATACCAGCTGCGAGAGAGAACGATTGTTTACGCGGGTTTTCTGCTACAAGATCGCTTTTTGAAGGTGGTGCTGTCCGCGTCCAATGAAGGGTCAGCCGCAGAAACTCCCGTAGTGGCCTTCTAGCTCTCCGCCGGAGCAAGTTTGCGTGAACAAGAAGAGGTAGAATATGTTCAACCTTACGCGCTGCTCATTATTCCGGGCCTCGGGTTCGCTCAACCGCTCGGAGACATTTGAAAAGGCAGACTCGATGTCAACAAGCTTTTCCCTGCTTCCACACAGAAAGTCGATGACAACGCCGACGTTCGACTTCTCGAAAGCGGTGTCGGTGGAAATTTCTGCTGTGCGGATTCGCGTAGTTTAGTAGGCTGCTCCAGCGAGGGAAGATGACACCAAAACGACATTTCAACCGATGACAGCGACTTCGGTCTTCATCGGTTCGTTTTTCGGTCGTCTGAGGATCTGGGGGATCAACTGCCGCTGGTTCGACGGTCTTCATTCGCGCTCCCGAAGCTGAGCTAGCCCTTTTCTATGAAGGTTCGAAATCTCGAAACCCAGGTGTTTATCGCCGACCCGAGGCCAAACCAGAGAAGATAAATCAGTTCGGCGGTTTTCCGGTTCAGGTTCTCCATCGACGAAGACTCTCGGGACGAGATCGTAATCGTCCGCTGTCTTTCATCCGTCGGGACGAGAATCGCTCTTGTTGCAATATTTGCGATTTCGAGCTCCTTCTTGCATCGTTTCCGTCGCAATTTCGGCGTCGCTAGTGATGTCGACGAATCAACCGACACGATAATCGACTGGGGAACTCGGGTGTCGTCCTAGTTGCGGAAGAGTTCCCGTAGTCTAACCGATATTTTCCTCGGAGCAAATAACTCTCTTGAGGAAAGCTGCTAACAATGCGGCGGATGATTGAAGTTGACATCGGCCACTTCCTTTTCCAAGATTACCAATGCTGATTCTTGGGAGAGGACCTTCAAATTACGCCGAAGCTCAATGTCGATGATGCGAAAAAGTTCGCAAAGCCTCGCAGCGAGCCGCGGGACAGCAAAATTTTTGACTTTCACCCGCGTAAGAATATTACGAACAAAAATCCTGCCGCTAGTAAACGGTCGCGGCGGAGCGACGGATGGAGGCTGAGGGCTACCGACCGGCCGGGCAGCCAGTTCACCAGCCGGACAGTGCGCCGCGACTAACGCTGCAGCCAAACATAGGGGTTAAGGCTAAACGGCGATGGACCACGACGACGACGCGCCGGCGCCGTATGGATGCACGAACGAACGAGGGCCACTAATGAAGTCACAGCCCGGCATTGAGAAAAAAAACTTTTCGAGAATAAATTCTGTCAATCGCTCGCTATCACCTTCACATAAATGTTTGTGTCTGGAAACTAAGCGGTGGAAACTCGGGTAGCTATCAGCGGGTTCTGACGCACGAGAAGTATTGCCGCTTAATGGATACCCGGTGAACCTCTTGCCTAGACCTTCATGGGTCAAAAGCGGAGAAGCGAGCGGAATTTCGATGTTGCTTTCTGAGCGGCCCGCCCCGGTAAGGAACGTGGACCCCTCCACGTGTACGTCCTCTGTCAGTCTCCAGTCGATGATCGGAGACTACCTCTACCGTTGGAAAATCGACCCAATTCTCCCATTCACGAGCTTCATTCAGTCATTCATGAGTGAGATTCGCTGCTTCTTCGCCGTCGCTTAGACTTGAGCTCCGCAGGCTCGTTCGTTCCCTTCTGCATTTTGCTCGTTCAGAACGCTGTCCAGTTTGTTTCACCAAAGACTAAAAGATGGCTGCCCTGGCGGCTCCAGGCCTAGCCTCGAGGTCCTTAATTTCCTCCCTCTTCCGGAGAAATTGTATCGGTCGATTGTACCGACCCCCTCGATATATAGACTTCGACGACTTGGCCGCAGATCGTTGATAGGGTTCTTCATCCGAGCCCAACTGAAATATTCATCTCGCGATCCTTGTATGGGGGATCGCTCCGCATATAGTTTCACAGTTGGCTGGAGCCGAGAGGGTTCATTGTCGAATCCAATTAAGTCGAGCACGCTCAGCTCGGAATTTCGGATGAAGGTTAACGCTCTTCTGGGTTTTCTCCTTTCAGTGATTTCGACTCTCTTCAATCAGAGAACGTCCTTGAAAATAATCAGCTGGCATTCCGAGTGGCCGAGAAACAGCTTGGTATTCCCGCTCTGCTGGATGCCGAGGACATGGTCAAATATCAGGTCCCAGATAAACTTTGTATCGCCACTTACGTCTCCCAGTTCTACCAGTACTTCGAAGGCGGTAAGAAACGAAACCAGATTCAAAAGACGCAAAGAATCAGGAATATGCCTCGTGTTACTTCCACTCATGGGCTATCGAAGTTGCGGCGGAAAACGTCGATACGCTCGAATCCTATTTCATCACTAACGGAAAACTCTCCCCGGCAGGTATGGCCCGCATGAAATCCGCCTCGTCCGCCCCCCAAAACTGCATTCCTCCTGCAAGCAGCAATTTCAATATCGGGCCCCCAACCAAGGTATAAAGCGCTCTGTTCTCATGTTCCTCCACTGTAGCCGAGCTATCAGTACCAAACGATTATCCATTCGGAAGAGATCCGAGGACACAACGGCAATACCGTTTTCGAGTCATTCGATTTAGTCTCCCGGTGCGATTTCTATACTTTTAGCGAGAGCGACATGGATCAGCGTCTTGGAGATCCGTTGGGTTTCTCAGCTCCTCCTTGATCGGTAGAGAATCGAGTCCGATGCGTGAAAAAATAATTTGAGAAAGCTTTCTTGCGAACGCCCTGATGCATAATAATCTACTCGAGAAAGCGTCCCGACAGACGTCCATGGGGCGGAGCTCAGATCTCTGATTGAAAGTCAGTCAGTCGTACACAATTCTTTGATACGCGTGAGTTGTTGTAAACAAGTGCATAGAGACCGATAACTCCTTGGCGAAGTGACATCTGAGTCAAAATCGAATGTTCGAGAGTCTAGAATTCGGAGTGTAAATATGACGGAGATACAATTATCCTAAACACGTAGCTACTGCCTTCACCGAGCAATACTCGAGGAGGTGTGGAATAAACTGCCGATCCTCGACTTTAATAAAACCGAACTGCTACTGTTCATGGTGTCGTTGTTTCATTGCTGCTTACTCTCAACAAAATGGAATCGCCGCGATTCACCGTCTTGGATAATATGCCCAAATCAAGATCTATCCGCGAAAAGGTAAGCTGAGCGACTGACACGGGGTTCGTCGCTCGAAGCCTCAAAATTCCCTCAAGCGCCTTTGAAATGATGTTTTCGGTGGCTCTCCGATTCAGAAGTAATAGTGAAGAGCGAGTTCACACGCCGGTGATTCGATTGAACTGGTTCGAACTGCTCAAAACAACCTCATCCTTCCGTTTTCGTCGAACCGCGTGTCTTCCATGCAAAGCTGAAACATCGGAAAGAACAATGCGTTGACATGGCATCAAGCTCAACGAATCAGGGCGGCGGGTCCACCGACTGCCAATTCAGAACCACGCGCTGACCCGAAGGCGATGATTGGGAACAAATTCTCGAATATACTCACGAAGTATTGAGATAAGAAAGGGCCAGCTCCAGAGGTATCGAAATTTGTGATTCTACTTGGCTGTGGAGGAATCGCAAATTTACGAATCGTTCTGGATGAGTCGCAATTTTCAAATCGAAGGCTGATATCGATCTCGCCCATGCGGAGCGCGATCATGAGAAGGAACGGATGTGATTCATTATCGGTGGGAGGAATTCGTATTCTGTCGACGGCTTCGACCTCTTTGGAGGCTGATATTGCCAAGTGAGCCCTGTCTCAATTCTGGGGCATCATCCACCCTGGAGATTGCAGGAATAATCCTTGCCGCTCGATTTCCCATCCGGGTGACTAGTCGAAGGGATGAGATGGCCTCTATGGGTCCTAGAAATGATGGAGACATTTCGCCAAGCGATTGCTCAGACGCTCAGATCACTCACCGCCTCTGCGAGGGCCAAGTCCTGCACTTCGGCAAGAGCCTCCAGGAACTGGGTCTGGTTCATCTCGGAACGGTTTCCCCTTCTACTCCTGCGGAAACCGAAATCGAATCCCAGAGGTCTGGCGCCTGCTTCGGTCTCCTTGGCACCTTCGTTCTGACCCATCCCTCTCTGGCGTTGCTCTAAGGCACTTGACTGGAGAAAATCGGACGTTCGAGCCTTCTATCGATACCAGGAGTCTCCGCATCCGTTATTGAGTTATTGGAAGTGATGCTGCAAAAACTAATTCGACACGGATGGCAGAAGTCGTCATGTTTGAAAGGCATACTCACAACGTTCCTCCACGAAGCTCTCAGAGTGCGGCCGATCTCGTATTCAACTGATCGGTTGACGGATGTTGACATGCTTGCATTATGGAAACAAGTCAGGCCTTGAACGACAAAAGGAAGAGTTCATTGGTTGCGAACTTGGAAGACTAAGCGGGGGGGGGAACTAGAAATCTCCTTCGAGGACAAGCTCGATAAGCGATTGAATCCGATGTCATGAGGCCGAAGACCTCAAATCTCACCGCGAGCGTAACTTTGGAAGCCTCTTCGGCGGTCGTATAGAGAATCGCGGCCGAATTGGGCGGCCACGAAAACCACTAACACTCCGACAACAAGGGCACTCCTGATCATGATTGTCTTTTGATTGCCTTGAGCGGTCCTAGTCGGAGCCTTTTATGCATCTGACGACTTCGTGGACTGCCTACAGATTATGTGACGCACATGTCGAACTAAGATTCACCAACGAGCCGAGGCAGCCGGAAGTCAGAAGTGTGCGGATCCACATCGATACCCGAATCTTGGTCCTCGGAGCCTTCCTTCTCCCTCTGGCAGAGGTCACGAGATTCCCCTCGGAATGAGGCAGAAATTCCATTGGAAGGAGCTCTCTCCGTTCGGGAAGTACCGTAGTTCCGGGCATCGGTCCGGAATATCGATCAGATCCCCCCGACATCCGGTCATCGAAACAGTATTCGTCGGAGATTCACTGCTCTTGCGATCCTTCGACGCATGATCCCAACTGAAACCTGTACCGGGTTCCATGCCTGAGCAGCGTGACATGAAATCAACAGAGAGCATTCCCTGAAAGCTAAAAGATTGGCGTCGATTTCCCGCATTCAATCATCAGAGAATCCCGCATCCATCGAGGGAGGGGGGGAGATAGAGGTTTTGAGAATGATCAGAGAAGTTTGAAAATTTTAGGAATCTAGTCACGCAAGCGGCAGCTGGCATCTTCACCTCAAATCCCTCGAGGACTCCTGCAGAAGCAGTTCGCCCGCGGTCCATCTCCGAGTCACGGCGGAAATATTGTCTAACGCAATGATACTCTGTCATGATACCTTCCGATCAGGGATGAGAAGCGACGAATTCTTCGCATGATCAACGGTTTGAGCTCTGTGAGAAGGTCCACGTAGAAGTGTGCGAGGGACTGTATTATTGTGCAAACGTCATTCGGTCATTCTATCGTTTATCGAGCTGAAATACCAGCGTCATCACGATATGAATCCGGAGATCTGAGCGCGAATGTTCTCCGGGATAGTGAGGAAAGAGGAAGAGCTCAAGCGCCAATCGATCGTAGAACGGACCGATTCCACCTCGTACTGCTCGAAACCAAAAATTCAAAATGGCTCTTTCGGGCTCCTCCGCAAGTAACCTTCCAACAGCGTGAGCGAATCCATCTGTCCCACGGAACACTCACCTGCATAATCGGGACGTAACTTATGTAACAGGAATAGGTTATCGAGATCCTGTTCTCACGGTGAGGCACTGCCAAAATAGCGTTCCTTGCTGCTCAATACTCATATCGTAGAGGAGCTTTCCAAGCGGTTTCAGCTCAGAGATGGCGCATCCGGAGCAATCCTCTGTAAAAAGGCCCCGAAATAATTTCCCTTAGCGGGGAAATTCAATCATGATGGCCTCGAGCTTCTCCTGAGAAGCTCCCCTTACGAAGTATCAATCAAGTGACATGGTTGATTGTGAGGAATTCCGCCTAGTCGAAGAAAACCTGAGGCGTTGCCACCTTGAGCTTCCGATCACAAGGGGTTTTTCTTCCTACATCTTCTGTCGTCTCGTTTCGATCATCGTCTCCATGACTCTCCGAACCCTGCCGCATCAAACCTCGTCTATGTTACGTGACTCCGATTGCTCACGGACCCATAATAAAAAATACCCAGGTCTTCTTAGCGAAAAAATCTCATATTATCCTTTCCCGATAGGAATCCTGCTCCAGCAGAAGGGTTCCGCCGAGAGGGTCTTAATCACAGAGAAATTCATCGTGCTTCTGACCACAGACGGAACAAGTCATAAATCAGTCGTCAAAGAAAGCTCGACCAGAAAGCTTAGGAGGCATATCATGCCGAGTATCACGCGTAGACTACAACATCGTTGAGCCATAGCTTAGCGGTCACCAATAATCTGACTGCTACTCCCTGCAATCATACATATAGTCCGTTTTCGTAAGGAGCTAGAAGTTTCGACGACGGTCCCGGGACTCTTGCGGGAAATACGCCGCCTCGCAAAGGGCTTTCGTCCATCGCTCTAGTGGTCGTAGGTTTGAACATGGGTCGACTAGGGAGGCGCGACTTCACGATGCTCGCTCAAGGAGGCCGCGACTTCAGCTTGCCTCCTGGGAGGGGCCCTTGAGGGCCTGATGTTGTGAACCACTGCTCCCACGAACTAAGCATGCGCTGAAAGTTTTCATGGCCATGATCGGATTGTCTGCTTGAAGAAGTAACACCTTCGTCTCATGCTTGCAGAGCCCGGTCCTCGTCCGCGCTAGCGCGTGTTCGGCGTGTTCGAACAAAGTCTTCCTGCTGGAAAGACTGATCGTCGGCACCAAACTCTACCACAGATCGTGTTTCCGCTGTTGTCGATGTGATTCGTTGTTGAATCCCGGAGCTTACGCTTTGGCCGACGATGCGGAGGACCGATACGAATGCACCGTGTGCCCGAAGGACGAAGGCCCAGAATTCAAGAAGGTGAGTTCTTCCGAGAGTCACACATTCGAATCACGTGAAACCCGCATCGACAAGACGCCCGGTCTGAACGAGCGCCTTTCTACCAGCATATACTGGTTGAATATGTAGGTCGTAAGGAACGATGGGTCAACGATTCTTCTACACATATCCCATTGAGTTATGAGAATTCATTTTTGTGAACTGATCATACTTCTCGCAGATTATGCTCAAAAGCGAGCTCGGAATCCCGCGCCGACGTCTCGAATCGTTCAGCTCCGAGTCTTCGACCGCTTCATCCGACTCGAGGCCTTCCTCGGCGAGCAGCAAGCAAATCGATGCCATCAGGGAGTTTGCTGAGACTCCCGCTTCGACATCAGGCAGTGAGCCCGAGCTCACCCGGTTGAAAGATTCCCAGAGGAACGGAAAAACTGATTCGCCTTTCCTCGCCATTCCAAACTGCATCCCTGTGTCACCTCTCGCGCAACAATCCACAGTCATATCAGCTAGATTCAAGCCTCAGAACTCACACGACATCACGAAACCCGAAGTAGCACCGAAACCCATAGCTCTAATCGCCGCGACCCGGAAGCCCAGAGACTCGGAGGGTGGTAATAGCCTCCCGAAACCCTCTGTGTCGGCAGATCCCGCGAAGGTCACGATAGAGTCGTCGAGAAGTCCTTCTCCAACGAAGTCACTGAAAAGCGACTCGGTGTGCTCTACGCCCGATTTGATGAGCCGCCGCGAAAACCTCCGGAAAACGCCAACGGAGGCCGACCCGCTCCCGGAACGTCGCCTGAGCATAGGGAGTTCCAAGAGCAGCGACGGTCCCACGTCATTCGACGAGCGTCTGAAGAAACTCTCGTTGAGGAGTCCGTCAGAACCGAGCGCCTTCCAGAGGACGAGCAGCTTGCGAGCGCTGCCAACGATTGTTCCTCTGAAGACGGAAAGGCTAGAGACGGATAATAAGGTCCGCTCGCTCAACTCTCTACTGATCCTCCCGGATAAACCGAAACCGGCGCCGCGAAAACTCGAAGATTCGTCGTACGAGAGCCCTTATGCCGGTAGGCGTTCAGCTGGCTCCTTCCTCCCGATTCAGAGCGATCAGCCTTCGCCAGCCACGAGCCCTACGCCTCTGCCCCGGAAGAGAGCTCTGCCGGAAAAGAAGGAAGTAATCGAAAAGACGCGAGACGCTCCGGAAGACACCGCAAAAGGAGAAGCTCTAGGGACAACCGTCACCCCGCAACCGGGAGACCAGAGTCCCGTTCCTCCGAAACCGCGTCGAGGCATTGCTCGGAAGCTGCAGAAACAAGCTGAAGAGGAACGGAAGTCCTCGGCGGCGGCTTCAAAGTGAGTTCCGTCTTGGATTTGCGAGAGAAATATCGGCATGCTTTGGACGAGGGGTGCGACGAATGACTGAACTTTTTTCCTCCACAGTTCCTCCAACCAGACGCAGTATCCGGTGGCGCTGAACCCTTTCGGCGACTGTGCAGAGGACAAGGTTGAAGACACTACAGGGGTCGAGACGCCGGAGCCTGGACCTCCGTCCACGCAGTCGTCCACAGTCCCACCCGGGAAAGGGGCGAAATCGAGGTCGGATTACCCTGAAACACTGAATCCGTTCCAGGACGCCGTGGATGAGGACGCTCCCGGATCTATCTCACCAGTGCAGCTTTCGATATCTTCCAATGACACCGCACCGGTCAGCTCGGTCCACAGCGACTCACTGAATCCATTCTTCGACGCCAGTCGGACGCCTTCGCTGAAAAAATCACCGAAGAAGAGAGCAGCTCCGCTTCCCCCGTCTCGTCCGTCGACCACTTCCTTGAATTCGATGACACCACGCACTTCGGGAACGAGCTCACCCTCGGTGACGCGGAACTCATCCACCGTGTCGCAGAGGAAGGATGCACCCGCAACGGCTAGTCCAGCCGGTGAGTTCCTACCCCTCTTTCGGATAGGGAGAAAATTCTCGAATGTGGACGCAATCGTATTTGATGATCTGGCATCCTCCGTTTTTTGAGTTGATCGGACTTGTCCGTATTTCCAGCGAACCCACCGATCATGACCGAAGCTCGCAAGAAGAAACGGCCAGCGCCCAGCGTCCCCGTACCGATGAAGAGAGAATTGCAGGCCGTGAGCTTGAAGGCTATCCAAGCCGAAATGAGGACCATCGAAAAAAGATTAGTCGAACTGGAAACACAAGGAAAGAACATCGAGTTAAGCCTTAGGCAACTTCCCCCGCCCGGAGAATCTGGTGAGAGAAGCTTCATCATCGAGATTCATGGATCCAAGTTATCATCTAAAACGAGATACAATTCTTCGACTTCCGTGAAATAGTACTCGTATATCCCTCGTTCGGCGAAATAGAAGTTAGGCAGGCTCCTGCTCCCGAGGCTAGATGAATGCCCTCATGGAACGAGACTAAGCCTTCGAAACCCTTCATTCTAGTCGATGAAGCCGATGGGGGAAATGTGCCGCACGAGGAGACTCTGATGATGGAGCTCTTCGAGCTTGTCAACGAGAAGAACACTCTTTATCGGAGACAGGCAGAACTCATGTACATGTAAGTCATCGAGGAAGTTCCTCCCTTCGCGTACTCTATGCATTGATTCTCTCACGGGAAATCCAGTAGTTCCTAGATGGAATACCACAATCGATTCCCATATGCTCACAGCAAACGTTACCAACGACTAGAGGAGGAACAAATCGAGTTGGAATATCAAATTCGCTTGCTCATCAATAAGTCAGGTATTGCTTGGTCCCTCATATTCAAGTTGAAGACACGGTAGGAATATCAGAAGAGGGAAGATTTATTCATTCCGATGAGCTTGTCCCGAAAAAATAATATGTTCTCAATATCGATCGCCGACAGTGAGTCAAAGAACGCCGGAAGACGAAATTCGTGAAGCTGAATTGATTCACAAGCTAGTGGAGATCGTTGAACTACGCAACGAAATCGTAGATGCTCAAGAAGTCGATCGACAGAGGCTCACCAGAGAAGACGAAGACATCGAAGCCCAACGTCTCCGAATGACATCAGGAGGTCAGCGTGAGAGCGTCTCTCCACTCGCGGATCTTTAATACCACGGTGTCCGAACATCGAAGATACCGACGCGATCTGAAGAGACCCAGATACGACTTCTTTTTCATTGCAGCGTCCGGTAGCGCATCTTGCGAGCCCGTCGAACTCAGGCCAGAGGAGGAAAAGAGAAAGAAGAAGAAGAAAAAGGATAAGAAGAAAGATAAGTCGCAGGACAAAGACACGAAGGACCCCGAAGATTCATCGAAGAGAACTCTGAAGAAACTTTTCAAAGAGAAATACAAAACACTGAAACAAGGCGCCGTACTGAAGAAGAATTGAGGTGTTTGCACCGTGAATAACGCATCAAGATCGGCGATTGTTCATTGCTTTTAATTTCGTGCGAAAAAGCATCCCCTCGGGGTTTTGTTGTACTCGGGAGTTGCCTTCCCCGGCGGCGATGTGAGTTTGTGGGAACGCCTCAAATCCGTTTCGATCCACGTCCTTAGATGACTCCATTCTTTTATTCCAATCCTTTAATGAAGATTTCTAAACCCAAAGCTCTCATGCGGACAAGATTCGCCTTTTCCGAACGATTATTATTTGTGCAATGTCATCGTGAACCAGGTCTTCTTTGCTCGGAGACACAGAAAATATTGCAGTCGAGTTCATCCAAGATTACCTAGGTGTTCGTAGCTCCCGCGCGGATGGGATACATTCCGTGGCTCCAGTTTTCGAGAGTGATCGCTGGACCGATCGCTCAGAGTTTGGAAATATATTGTGATTTTGAAATCACGCTGAAACGTTCGTCTTCCGTCTACCGTAAGAATCTCTACCAGAACCAGGTAGCTCGGATTCAGGCGATCATCCCAGACCGTCGAATGACGTAAGTCAGCCAAAGCGCTCTCTCGGCCCTATTAAGCATCCATGCGAGGAGACGTTCACTCTCCAGACAATTTTTTCGGAATCGTCCGAGCTTTATTGTTAGAATGAGGTTGAGTAGCGGTCGGCTTCGAGATTCTCGGATATCCTCATCCAAAGTAGAGGCCTATGTCCATATATCGCTGTAAGAGAGGAGACAGAATAATTCAAGGGGGTATACATCTCGAATGTACAAGCAGCGATCAGACATCAGAGACAGTTCTTCTCGCTCAGGAGCGCTCACAGTTTGACTTGCGATCGGGATCCAGTATGCTGTTGCGTTCCAGCAGGTGATCAAAACAGTCTTCGTGACAGCTTGAAACTCTTTCTGCAAGCGATTCAGGGATGGAATATCAGAGGCGCTGCCAGACTGATTAGATCTCTAGAAATTCCCTATCTCTCGTTGATCAAGGGGAACACCGAAGCAACGAACCTCCATAGCGGCTGACACCATCCGGAACTTCGAAGGAGAACAGAGTTACACATTATCGGCGCTGCTCTTCGGCACCGTTTATGTTTCCAGGGTTTCCTGATTCTCATCATTCTCATTCTCCATTCGGAACTTACAGTGTTGCTGAAGAGTTTAGGCGCAGTCTTGCACACTTCAGCTACAAAGTCCGTTATCGAGGCGTCCTTGATCAACTCCTTCACTTTCCTCTGCACCAATTCGCGTGGCTGAAATGATATTATCCCATCGTTCGTATTGCTTGCTCGAAACGGATCCCACTATTGATTGAGCTTTCCACAAGAGCACCAGCCGAAAACCTTTGTGTGCTCCTCACCTGCTCGGGGAGGAGCGGCAGCGAGCATTCGTAAATAGATCGGGGGGCTTCGCGCTGCAAATCTGCGACAGGAGGGATGTAGCCATAAGTTGGACTCGCTCGAAGAAATCGACCGAAGGAAAAAAGGTTTGAGCTCACACACATCGATGCTGCTGCTATCGCTAATGGCAAGGGAAACTCACCGCAAAAATAGTACGGGATGATGGTTTCATTCGTGGGGCTGCCGCCAAAGGCCAAAGGCATCGCTAAGGACGCGATCACAATCGAATGTATAATGCAGAGCATCTTCAACAGTTATCAAATAAGCTGCGTCCTTCTACGCACTCTTGAATCCTGTCGACTTGCTGGTCTTTGTGCAGACGAATAGCTTTCCGCCTTGATCAGCGCGTTCTTCGCAGAAAAAATCGCTGCCATGGTTTCATTACTGTTACGGAAGCAATATTTGCGATCCAATCGATTAGACTCGCATGCTTTCATTTTTTTATTACCTCGGGCTCCCAATGTTACAGCAGGGACCGATAGACTCAGTCCCTGGTGTAGGATTTTCGCTCTCATAACGTGAGAACGAGGAGCGGATTAGCCTTTCCCGGACTAAATTAGGAGACAGGAGAGCTTTCATTCAGCTTTGAACCACTGGAAACTTTATTCCTGTTGACGCAGCTTAATTCCATTCATTCGGGAGAACCTTGCAGGGATCGGATGCGGAGCACTTCACTAATGCACTCGTATCGGTCACAGACTAGAGAAAAGTTCTTCTCCATTTTCAATTGTCAGTCATTCATTCACGCTATCAGGTCTCTAGCGTAGGACCGGATGCCATCAACGGCCTGTCGGCTGGGGCCTTCTCGAAGTGCTTGGTGACTGATTGAGCTTTGATCTTGTATGATTGGACGGCCGTCGGGGCCCTCAGATGAGCTTAATGACGAATGAGCCAGAGGGACAGAACGGTTGCCATGATAGTCAGCAAACTGACGTTCATTGAAGAAGTAGAGTTACAGGCCTCGGTGTGGCATTCGCACGATGTTGTCTTGACCAGGTTGTCGGCTGGAAGGGTTCTCATTGAAAAGGGTTCGAATTGATCGTTGTTGTATCTCTTTTCCCACGAGCGATTCTCGAGAAGAGCATAGAGGAATGAAATCTCAATATTGAATTCCTCTCAGCTCGAGAGAGATCTCGATAGAAAGAAAACAAGTCAAGGAGAGGATGATCGCAGCTCCCTCGAGAATCTACCCGACTCGAACTTGCACGAAACAATTTCTCAATGCAGAGCAAAGCTTGAAAAATCTGGGATCTCGCGGTGGCTCGATAATCGGGAGTGAGTTTTCCGATCCGGGAGAAAATTGGAGATTTCGTGGAAGTCCTGGAGCGAACTTGCAAACTTACAGGAAGACAGACAGACTTCGCGCTTCTTGGCGTACATCTTCCATCCACAGCGTCGGTCATGGAAGACGACTCCCTCTTTCTGAACGATCTGGAACAAAATCAAATGAAATTCAGTCGAGCCATCCGGTGACCGGGAAGCTCAAAACCTCATTTCTGAAGAGCCTAAGCGGTTAGCTCATAACTCCGAGATCAGGGATCCTTAGAAGTCCTCATTCAGGAGCTTATCGCTCTCGGCGGTCCAATCAAGCGTAAGCTGGGGTCGCCGGCCGCCGGTTCCTCGACAATCATCGCGCAGCCTCCAGCAGAAAGAGTTTGGGATTGGATCCGGAAACGCGAGAGCCTCGACCCCATACCTGGTTATTTCCACACGAGCAGTGAGCTCTATCCGACTGAGCTCATCTCGAAGTCGCGATCGATTTCAAAACTTCGAAGTGACTGCTTCCTTCGACCCATTGTGACTCCATGTCTGAGCAGGGATGAACACAAATCCCCCGCTGGAAGCGCTCAAAGCTCGAAAATTCGTCACTCCTCGATTACTTCAGCTAGGACTCACCTGATGTCTGCAGACAATAAAGGGCTCTTTTTCCTTATTGTTCTCATAAGGAACAGTTTCGCACTCCTTCAGGAAGCGACGGTCGATGGGACTCTTGGCACAATCGGTGTCGTTCCTCGAGTTACAGACGTAGCACCTGAAGGCGGACACCTCATACGAGCCCATCAGAACGACAGCGGCGACCACGAGCAGAGCGAAGTTCGAGCTCATTGCGACGGTGTCGAACAACGGAAAACCGACTGGTTCCAACGTCTCAAACTCCTCTTTTTGGTGGTTTTCAAGATGGCAAGGGAACGGAAGCTCTCGACTGCGTCACTTTAACAAGCCACGGTCGCTAGCGCATGTGCTCGGTCGAGTCCTTGTTATCTTTCGTTCCCAAACAGAGATCTCACTCACAGATCGGCAGCTACATCATACGTCCACTATTGTGACACGGTGGATTGAGGGGGAGGAAGATAGCAATGATACTGATTCTCCGTATCGGGAGTGAGAGCCGCATCGATGAGACCCCAAGGCTCCCAATATGGAATAGCGAATTCCGAACAATGATGATACCGATTAGCGTTTTCCAGGGGAATCGATCCCATTTCGGGGGTCGCTATCTCTAGCAGCCTTTAGATCGAATCCGATGGATGCGCTGCAATCGGAACATTGCGATTGCGTTACGCTTCTTGAAGTCGACTAGTTGATCTTTTCCGGAAATCCCGTCGGTCAGTCGTCGAGCAGGGTGCACGCATGGTATCACCGTCTCCCTATATTCGCAAAGCGATAAGATCTTCCTCAATGGAGGAGGCAGCTGACCTTCCGATGACACTTCCTGTCGGCAAGTCCGCTCCAGACCAGATTGTTACAAGATACTTCGTTTCCTTTGACAACACGCTCTCACGCTCGAGCTCAATGAACGCACCGTACTCTAGCGCGAGATTGCGTTCATTGTCCATTTGATAAAATCGCCGACGGAAGGCGGCACGCGGATCAATGCAAAAATGCCATACTTCGACGGTCTCGGCAGAGATTCGCTCTCGAGGGGAAGAGGACTCGGCCACGAATTCGTCTGATAGGTCTGATATGACTTGATCCTCCTGAGTTCTACCCCCTCTGGATCCGTCCGCGGAAGCAAGTACGAAGAACTAGGTTCCGTGACAACTTGGTGTTCAGGCCCCAGAATCGGAAACTCATCCGGAGTCGGGAGATATCCGAGAGAGATGAAGAAGGCCTCGTGGAGGGGCACAACGATACTGCACAAACTGATCGGAGATCGACACCCAGGACAAACGATCAGTTCGTAGCGGCTGGGATATTATGACTTCCGTATCCCGTACGATTAGCTCCGCTGCCTTCTTGCATCGTTTTTCGAGACGATTCGACAGCGCTACCCATGGCGGGCGACGCTTCGTACTCGCACACGAACAGATCAGGTCGACTGCATCGTCCGCAAGGAACTCTCCGCTCGCGGGGCGTCACGTCGAACGTGTGTCCCCGTGGCACTCTGAGCGCCAATGATTCCCTAGGATTCTTCACGGAAACATCTACAGGAAGCTCATGACTCCGTCATCGATAAACCTATCCCGCACCAGTCACTTTGTCGATCACGCCTATGATGCCTCTGCCCGAGAAGGAGTGTCCCGTGGAGCATGCATGTGCATCAAGTGTTTTTCGGGAGCTCTTCAATTAAATTGGTGTCCACTTTCCTCGGAGTCGTGACCGGAGCCCGACTGAACCGTTCCGTCGAGGGTCAATCGAGGCAGGGGGGCCGAGTGCAGATAGATTCACGGATATAACTCATCGATCTCCCCGCTCTAGAGCCTCCCTGAGAAGTGAATGAGACTCTTTCTCGCCTTGTAGACGCTACCTCAAACTTACAGACCACTCCCTCCTGCCTAGTCTGTCCGCTTTGTAGCCGGACCGCATATTAATGGTCGGGTGCGCAATCGTCGTCAAACCATTTTGAATTCCGGCGCGCCAGCTGTTCGTGGAGCTGATGATGGTGATGGCGACGGCGCTCTGCACCACCACCTACCGGTTACGTTGATCGAATGTTCTCAATTTTGAGAGAAAAAAAAACTGAGACGACAGTTTTTGGTGGAAAAACGACAACAGCGCATCGTTTTCACGGAATAAGCTCCTCCGGGCGCTCACGATGGCCAGCCGGTCTGAATTGGGCCTCGAGCGAGTGAAGCAAAAGCTCGAAAAATGTTTTGAGAGTGGCGATTTCTATCATACACATCAAATGTACAGAACCATCTATTTCAGGTGAGTTGGGAACAGTGAGCGATGTAGTTGGCTTTTTGAAAAGCTCGAACCTGCCCGCAAGGTTGCAATAGGATTTTCCCCCCGATCCCCAACACTGACAGCGACACAGAACTTGATCGTCCCTGAGATCCCGAGCCCGTCTTCCACCTGTCAAATTTCTGTGATGCAGCTCATCGATTTGCGTCTTGAGCATTGTGGAGTCTCGATGCGTCTGAGCTCGAGTCGACGTGCGGCTAGAGCTTTGTGCAGGGCTCCCGTCTCGATGCGGGAAACTTCGTCTAAGGATGCAGAACTCAAAGGGCATCCTGCACGTGTTGTGCCTTGTGCCGCGTATCCGGATCTCGCTCAGCTGGGCGAGTGCGCATCCTGTTGGCGCTCCTCGATCCTCTTCCGACCGCTGTCGTAGTCAGGTTGCTCTAATTCTTCCGACTTACTTTACAGATTCAAACGGCAAGAAAAATATGCAGAATGCAAGGATATCATGTTCGAAGGCGCCGAACGTCTTCTCTCAAAGGGAGAGCTCAATTCGGGTGCCGACTTGGCGAAACTCTACCTTGAAGTTCTCTCTAAGGGTTCAATTCAAGCAGATTCTGAGATAATGAAGAAGCTTGCGAAGCTCCATTCCATGATGAAACCGTCAAGCCCAGAGAGGGTTGACTTCACCGGTAGGTCCGCGACAGGTTCCGGGAAGTAGCGGGGACCCCGCCCCGTAACGAGGAATATCTGATCCTTTCCCAAAGCCTGGACGACAGAGGAATTGAGCTCCCATTCACTACTTTCAGGCGAATGTTTACAATATTCAACGGTACTGGGAGATCTCTCGGACAAGAAGGCCTTCGGACATCCCAATATGCACAGACTTCTCGCCCTGAATTATTGGGCGGAGACGAACTTCCGAGATGCTAAATATCATTTTACGCGGTCATTAGGTGCGTGAACGATCGATTTAGTTTTCCGGAGACCTAGATCTCTGTGTGTGGTGCTCCACCATTGGGAAGGAGAAGTCCCCGAAAATCAGCAGATCAGAGTTGGAAAAATATGCTCTTCCGCAAAGTGGCTTATCGGCTAATCGGGAAGAGAGACTTGGAGCATACTTAACGGAAAACCTCCATTCCAGATGGCACGAGCTGTGCGTTGATGCTCATCGAATATCACTTAAGTAAAGGCTACAAGTCAGAAGTCGATCTTTTTATCGCGCAAACGGTGCTGCAATATCTTTGTCTGAACAATCAACGAACCGCTACCGTGGCTTTCTACGTGTATACAAGATGGCATCCGAATGTAGATGGACCCCCCTTCGTTCTCCCTCTATTGAATTTCATCTGGTTTCTTCTCCTAGCAGTAGAGACTAGGGCAAACTTGGCGATTTTCACTGTCCTGTGCGAACGGTACAAGAGTTTTTTGGCCAGAGATCCGATGTACAATGTGTATCTCGACAAAATCGGTCAGCTCTTCTTCGGCAAAGCAGTCGCGCCGTCTGAGAGACATCCGGCTGGCGGACTCCTAGGAAATATGATATCTCAACTGATGACCGAGCTGGACGAGGAGGTTGGCTTGGGAGTCTATTCGGAGGATGTCGACTGAAAGTTTCGCTTTGGTCGTACAGGGCTGGAAGGCAAGCCGGCGCCAATCAGCGACGAGCTTACTAGCGTCGGGTCGAGCCTCTGTTTTTCACCGTGTAAAATTGTGATGTCAAAGCTCCGCGGGGTCGAATGATGGAGCAATATATTCCGAATTCGAGTGCGTACGACTATTGTATGCAGACAGAGAAAGCCCCATTTGAATATCGGAGACTTCAACCTGTCGTGACCCCGCCGGCCGTGCGGCAACTTTGCGGCAGTGTGACTGAGGGAGTGCGTGTGTTCGAGTGCACCATTTTCGGTGTGGATAGTGAGATGAGCATGCTCGTTTTGTGAGGAGAGAAAAGAACATGCGTTATAATGTGTCAGCTCGGTACGTCGCTTCTTCGCGCTCCCTCGAAACGCTCCTTGTTCTTGATACCCATGAACGATAATAAAAAAAAAGTAAAATATCGCCTGTTGCCATCGAGACCCTTTCAATCGCCTGTGGAGCGACTGTCGACAGTACATCTGGACTCAGCCCCGAAGCAGAGATTCACAAGGTCCTCGTAAGTTTCATGAGTGGAACATTCAGTCATAAGTTCCAGAGGAAAGCATAGCGATCCTTGCGATCAAGAGTCATGATTCAGAGTACCGCTTCGAGACGCTTCGCCACAATGGCAAACTAATCGAACGAATCGAACGTTTCATTGCACGAATGTGTCCGTCTGGAGCGCGAAATGGATTGCTTGAGCCCGCGGGAGCTGTTCGCTCTGTGGCCAATGATTCGACTCTAATCCAGAGCGATTCTCGCGATCTCCGTCAACCTGGATCTCGGGCTGGACGATTCCTCCGAATTCGGTTCCTTAAGGTTTGCCGAAGCCGAGGAGTACCCGTGTAATTCGAGGACAGAAGGATCGGCTTGCTCCTCTTCTCCCCTGAAGAGTTGCTCTCTTTCTGGTCGTTTTCGACGGCGCCGTTAATAATTGAATGCGGTTGACAGGCCGAGACCTGACGGTACCAGCTGGGAACAGGGAGCGTCGAATTCCTTGCGGTTCCGAGCAGAACTTTTTCCGGACCTCTTCCCCGACCCAATCTATATATAATGTGAACTTCCGCATCGTGTGGAATCAAAAACCGAAGGCAAGTCGCCGTCAACGTTCCGAGACAGGTTCCCAGTTCGTGCCAATATCCTGGCGGTGAGAACTCGGCAGCAATAACTTGAGTAAATTGCTGCTTGGAGTGGAATTTATTGTTGAGACGACCTACTTCAGCGAACAACAACTCTCGGACACCTACTCTGAAGGAAGACGAAGCCTAATGAAAATGAGGATCCAGCGATCTTCGCCGAGCAAATCGTGCGCTTCTCCAGGGCCTCTCGATTCTGTATTCGACGTCGCTATGAGTTCATAGCGTTGTCAAGCAATACGTATACTTAGTCGATATCGAAGCTCTGCCGATCTCATCACTCTTCCTGCGCTTGTCATGCGACTTTTACTCCGATCCTCATTATCCGCATGCTCCAAGAAAGAGCAGGGAGAAGTGGAAATCGTCCGTATTCGAGAGCTCAATTCCCGTTCTGAAGATATGTGTGTACGTTGATTTTTATTCACATTTCCATGCTGCTAACATGTGGGTAGTTCCAGGAACTTCGTCCGTGCTCGATATCTATGTGAGGAGGACTCGCTCGGACCGATAAGGAGGATGTCGGAATCCGCGGAGAAACTGCTTTCTCCGCCTCGGGCGACGTCGGAGTCGGGCAATATTCCGTGTAGGTGATTCCATCCGAAAGCGTGGACAAAGCAGCGACTACGCTTATGGCCGACATGTAGTACTAGCCCTCTGCTAGAAAACACGACTTACTATACGGACAATGAGCTTTATGCGAGAATCTGGACGTATATGACACGCTCTTAAGTATTTCGTCCGAAACGATAGAACGTCCAGCCGCTCAGTCTGTAGGCGGACCCTACATAATCCGGAAATGAGGTTGAGACCAGCTGTGAGCGAGCGCGTAATTCTCGCTTTCTCATATCGTTCAAGTGTATTTTACATGAAAAATTCGATTTGTATTCTGGAATTTGTTTGGGAAACACTAGATGCCGACAGCAGCTTCATTTGAGGCCATTCCTCTTTTGTAACAGTTTGTTGTTTGTTTCTTTCAAAGACTTGAGCTGCGTAGGATTATCATAATCGACCCGCATCGTAGCCAAAGCATTGGTCATTTCGACTTGTACATCTCCCCACTGCGCGTTCTCCTCCCGCAGGACTTGAACGGACATCAGAGGCGTCTGCGGAACTTGGTGGCATTGAGCGATCCAGCTGGAACGGACAATGAGTTAAGAAGTCAGTTCGGACTCCTCTGGAAATCATCGATGCCGGGAGTGTGCTCTAAAACGAGCCTAACCTGTGGCCCAACAAGGTCTCGATATCCATCCTCTTTGCCGGATCCGTGTGCAAGAGCCCTCGAATGATATCTTTAGCCTCTTTCGATACGTTGGCCCATTCAGGATTCGGGAATTCATATTCACCGGCTCGTATCCGCTTCTTCATTCCTGGAACGGGGATCCTCCTTCAATTAGTTCACAGTACTGCGGGATCCGGGAACGCAAGTCAGGCAAACTGGTGATAAGCATCTCAGCGGAGACCCGCTTAAGACGATGACGCGAACGATCGCGTTCGTGACGCTGGCTGCAGTGATGCAGCGGCGCAGGTCAAGTGTGACATCACATAGAGCCCGATTGACATCATATGATCGTCCATGGAGCTAGTGGAACAATCGACCCGGACCTCATACCGCGTGGATTTATCTAGCCGACTGGGCTCAATTCAAGTTTCTGCAGAGGGACATGCCTGAGCGGATCGACTCCTTTCAGGTCTCTCTACGGTAGTCTAGGAGCAGCTTCGCAATCGATAGACCGCTGGACGCGGTGGAGTGATCGAAGAGAGAATTCTTGTGAATATCTTTGGCCACCGAGAGGAAACCATTATCTTATCTTCGGGGATCCGGCAGCTTAGAACCGATGATCGGACAGTAGAATGGAATTTGGAGGAAATACGTTTAGCTTCTCGAGTGATTGACGTCAGGCGCGTTTCGGTCACGGAGACTTACCGGGGCTCATGGCGAGTCCATGATTGGAGTAGAAAGGTGGGAATCCGCAAAGTAGAATGTACATTATAACTCCTAAGGACCACATATCACAGGACATGTCGTATTTCTCCGGACCGAGGACCTCCGGTGCGACATAGTAAGGCGTATAGCATGGTGTCTGCAGTTCCTGAAAAATCGTATCGAGCTGACTTCGGGGCCCTCATCATCCAGATCATCGACGTTCCCGCGTTTGAGCCTAACAGTCCGCTACCTATTACACGAAAGAAAAAAACGCTCAGAGCAACAGAGACGTCTCACCTTTTTGGCGTGTCCGACTTCTTTGGCGAAACCGAAGTCTGTCAATTTGAGCGTACCCCCGACCTCCGATGTGTAGAGAAGATTTTCTGGTTTGAGGTCTCGGTGCGCAATGTTCATCCGATGGAGGAAGGCCAGGGCCTGGCATATTTGATGCATTACTTCGGCAGCTTCCCGCTCCGTGAATGCGTTTTCCCCGCGATTTTGAATGTGCTGCCATGAAGAAACTTCGATTCGTGGATTGGTCACGGCACGTGCTCTTGGGGCTCTTGATTGAAAATCAGCTTGACACTCACCATGAAAAGTTCTCCACCTCGCATAACTTCCATGACAATCAAAAGACAATTGTGCCCTGCGAACATGTTCTCGTACACCTCATGGATTCGGACGATGTATGGACAGCTCGAGGATCGCTGGTGGAGTTCAACTTCTCGTCTGGCCTTTGGACTATCTTTCAACACCTGTCCCGTTGGGAAAATCACAGATTATTTCTCTGTCGACCTTGTGAGCCGAACTCAAAACTTCGCCCAGATGCAGGGTACTCTACCTTCAAGGCATAGACTTGTTTGGTGACTTTATGGGTACACTCGAGAACCTTCCCATTGATACCGACTCCGAGAGTTCGATCTCCAACTAGGTATATATCGGTGAAAAGTCTTTTATCCGTGTTCAATGTTGGCGCAAAAACAGGGGGTTCCATCGTCGATGAAGATGGCTGCAATTTCATGTATATTGTTTTAGAACGCGAATTACGAGGAGATGCTTCAGATCAGGTCGCTGATCAGACCTCCGGCCTAACGTCCGACTCTAAATACCAAGGAACTTGTTTACAAAGGGCAGCGCCGCCGATCATCTGAGGTTCTGCTCGAGAACACTCACTCAGAGATTCGAGGCATTCCGCGCTGGGCAATGCGAACGGCAGCCGCGCGGCGGCAAGACAACGTCGAGACCTGACTCACTTCTTCGTAAACACCTCCACAAGGGCCCAGCGTACATCTTACTGCGGATGACTCAACCCCGTGATACTTCAAGGGCAATGACTCGTAGCAGATGAATGAAACTAATTCACGGTCAACGGAAGTTTCAACTTCTCTACAGGAATGCCCACCATCCAGTGAACGGTATTCCAATTATTCGAATGTCCCGTACTCCCATGCCGCACCCGTGTACAGAGTCTGGCTTCTAGACGAGCAAAGCTCAATTATTACTATTGGTCCATTGTCTGATATATTTCGTCAGTCGAAAAGTTCGATTGAGCAGCCTCTCGACTCGTGCCCGTCTGTTCCTTCTCTTGACGGTGCTTTAGTGCCCTGAGACAGTATTTTACCCGCGAGATCCAAGTTGTCCATACAAAAGGACAACAGACTTGGCCTTGTGGCGACAAGAGACGCTGTAAAAAAGCCCAGCGCGATAAAGGCCTGCAGAGTCCGTAAAATTCATCGGCCCGTCAGGTCGAGTTCAGCGGCAAATGTTGCCTGGAACTGGTCTGTTCTCGAACCGCTGTGAGGCTCTATCAATTCTCTACCGATTATTTTCCATGCAACACGACCAATAGGTCCACCGCAAGCGCGATGGAATAATTTGTACTGAGTCAGGGTCAAAATAAAAGCAAATGTTTATGAGTTAAAAAAATTCGATCTTTCCATTCCCGTTCGCAATTTCCGCATGGGCGGTCAACGTTCACTGAAGGCTTCATTTCCAGCGGTGACAATTCTCCGATGGGGACAGTAATAAAAGCCTCGCTGATCGCGCTCTCGCCCATGAGTCATCCGATGAACAAATTGAATAGCATCGGGTTTTCCCGCCCGGCGTAGAATAAACGTAGATAAAACGTGTAAACTGTGACAGAATGTGTTTGACGAGCAATGATGTCAAAAAGCTCACACCTCGAAAAGTGAATCGCGGGCCTTGCATAAATCAAGCTATTTCAGCGAGACGAAGTTCCGTTCCGAGAAGCGAGTAGGAGTTCCTCGAAGGGACCGAGAAGGGTCGCCGATAAAAGGGAATTTCTTTGCGTTCAACGGTGTCAAGTGGAGGTTTTCGAAACAGAGGGATCTCTGCTCGTGGTTAAGGCTTTTGTGACGTTCGTCAGTTTGCAGATCGTTGCCTCGAGCTGGCGAATCAAAGCCATGCAGAGCCGTTAGATAGAGTTTCTATCTTTTATAAGCACACACAGCAGCAGCGGAAATTCTGCGGCGAGAACAGCGCTAGCACTAAGGCGACTCCCGTGCTGTAATCCATTTGTGACCGAAGCCGTGAAATTCATCTCTGGAAGACCGCTTCCTAAAACGCCTCGCTTGAGGGCTCCTTTGTCTGTTCATGCACCGGCAAAAGGAACAGATACAGAAAAAAATTGCGAACGTCATCGCGTGTTCGCATGTCACGAGATTTGTGACGACAGCCTTCGAAGACGACAAGCTCAGAAAATCGATTCTTTTACGCGACAATCGAACCTCTCTCTTCCCGGAGCGAAAACCACTCGAGGGATCGTCCCAAAGAAGGGAACGGCCAAGGTGCTGAGAGATAAAGAGGTCCCTCGCAACAATGTCAAGCACGTTAGTCGATCTTCCGATTGGCCCGGAAACAATCGATGAGATAGTGGAAAGATGTGAATTTACCTTGAAAAGCTTGAGAATTCTCCGAGTGATTCCCTTCTTCTCTTTGATCGTTGCTTCACCGTTACCAACTCCTCCGGGAGGCTTCGGAGGCTTTGAACGGATCTGATTGTCTTCTAGCATTGTGGCTCTTGGAGCGGAACGGATTAAGCGGAGTTCGATCTTAACGCTCCGACTAATCCGAACACTTCAGACTTTCCAATGCACTTTCGGACACCGAGCACCAGGCTACCACCGAAGCCGCAGATCCCGCTCGAGAGCTCACTCAGCCGACCTGCTCTGTCGAAGTGTGTGCCAAACGTATGGGACAATGCACACCGTAACCGCTGTGGCCGAGCGCCGCGCTGCCGACAGCCATAGCTTCGACTTTCTCCACTCATACGCTCGCTCTCGACTTTTCTACCCTCACTACTTTCGCATACAGTAAATTGCTTCAACGGGGAGTCGCGCACAATTATTACTGACGCTCTCCAAGGACATTGCAGTGTGGGAACCTACTCGCCGGACACGCAGCAAGGCGTATGAGATGGATCTCATACGCGTGGGATCTCAAGACATTGGTCAGACCGTACAATCTGGGGATTCTTGGCTGCGAAACTTGTACGCAATGGCGGATCGCGGCTCCAGAATTCCATACGATAGGAAACTGGATCCGGGGGAAATTCAGAGTCAAGAGCTGGAAGCTGGAAGTCAAGCCGGGAAAAGCCCCAGCTGTTCGCCCGCAACAATCGGAGCTCGAAATTGTCCACTCCTCATGCTATTGCGAATTCCGCCTTTGATCACGCCTGGCACGATCGTCGCCAGGAAGATTCCTCCGCAAGCGCAGCGATGGGGAAGAGTAGAAATATTCACCCGCTAGTTTCTTTCAAGTCAGGGAGCTCTGGTTCTTTGCTCGAGCAAGTCTGACTCTTTGAGATTCGAGCTTGACATATCGCTCCATTCTTCGATCGAATGAATGCCCTGGATGGGGATAGAATTCGTTTCACTATCCCGCCCACTGGCATTTTGCTCAGCTTCACGAATAATGTTCAGAGTTCCGGAAACTACGACCAGAGGAGACTGTGTATCTTGCAATCAATCAGTGATATCCATGGATCCCTTCGCCAGGTCTCTAGACGCAAGGCGCTACGGAGAGAGCTTCCGATCCGTTGAGGTCGGAGTCTCGTCTGAGGAATTCGAGGTCTTGCGATGAATCGACGCCGACCAGGACCTTTCCCAGGTTCCTTGCCCTCCATCGATTAGACGCGAGGAACAGAATCTACGACGGCCGACAAATATCGAAGATATTTCGCGTCGGAACCTCGATCGCCTCCAGAACGCAAAGCCAAGACACGGGAAAAATCTGTCCGACAACGGTTGCCCTCCCCGAGCATCTCGAGCAAGTTTGTCAGTACAATGGAACAGAAAGCTCATTACACGAGCTGACATTGGCATGTCGATATATTCGAACGCCACTCAGCGAAAACGTGACCTCTAACTAGTTCCGAAGCAGCAGCCGGAGACTCAAATGGTTCAGGAAACTAACACTCGACCCTCCGCTAGAGACACCCTCTCATATAATTTCAACTGAGTGAGTGTCCCCATTACGGGATTCCTCCTCGCCCGAGCAGATTCTTAGAGGAAAGTATTCGATAACTAGCGGTAAACGATTTTGTATGACGCCACAGTAAACACGCGTGACACGACACGGGGACTCGATGCCGTTTCGAGTGTGCTCTCCATTGACGGGAACGCTCTTGATTCTAGCTCGAACGAAGCGTAGCATTTGTTGTAGATTTTTTTTTCACACAGAGTTAGCAGCAGATTGTTCCGCGTCTAGAGATTAGCGTATCAAGGAGGCGTAACATCTGCGTGGATTCTCCCGAAATGAGCGAATCTCCGATAAGCGCCGGCCCATGCGACGCGTCAACGCTCTCCCTCTTTCCGCACGAGCTCGTCGTTACATGCGTCTGACCCACGAAAGCCTCGGAACGTGAGTCACTGATCGCATTCTGAAAGTGTTCCGAAACACGGATTGGAAAGTAGTCCATCTCCCAGGAAGAAAGCTAGCGAGAAACATGCTTCGAGTCGCGCACTCTCGAACCTTGACGAAATACTGTGATTCTGAGGGACTCCAGGGAATTGCGAGCGCGCGACCGACACTCGATAATGATGTCGAGATCATTCGGATTTGTCCGAACATCGGGACATCGACCAAGAGTTCTGTTTAGAAGATGCGACAAGGGAAGTGCCCATCGGCCCGTCCGAACCATCGACACCCGTTGAAAGATAGCCAGCTTTGTTTTGCCAGAGACCCAACGGCGGCAGAGTGTCGTCGAGAAAAGAACACATACTGGGTGGAAGAGCTCGCACTATCGCCGGCCAGGTATATTTCATCTTTTTCGCCTCGGACCTTCCATGGAACTCCACACGCCGATTATCTGCCTCAAAGCTTTTCCCTGAACTTTGATTCACGAAAAATCGCGCCGAATAATCAGAGAATAGCTACTCCGGAAGCAGAGCGAGAATTCGAACGGTGTGGATTGGACCTTGGCCCTGATCGTGAATGAAATTTCGAAACCTAGTGAACTCGATATCGGGTCAGATACCGCGGAAGACGTTTACGAACTTGAACACCAATCGGATAGAGAATGAGCTCCGGGTTCGCGCCAAAAGCATTCATAGTGCCCAGTACCTACCTCGCGAGAAGCAGTGGGCTCTGGAGCGGTGAGCTCCTCTCCACTCAGACCACTTCAGAAATGGGTCAGCCGTCTGCGACGAAAACTCGACCCCGGACTTCGGAGACTCGTCAGAAAAATCACTAGACTCTCATCCACTTCCAGGGATCACTAAGACCTCCAAGGTCGTGACGCTGGTGTGGCTCTGATAAAGAGAAACTCACCAAGCTATTGCGGGATGAGAGGTGTACTCCAGAGTCTCCGGGTAGGAGAGCGAGTGGAAAAAAATCTTATCGATGAAAAACTGAGAGGTGGTCTGATTTAGACAGCGGAGGTTTTCAAAACATTGCGGATACACGCACCAGCACTCACACACGGGCAGATATTCAGTTTGGCAAGTTTGCCAGAACTCTGGGACGCGGCGAGCTCCGCCCATACGCATGCGCTACAGACAAAAATCTTCCTCCTCGCAACGAGTGGTCTCGCCACCAGCAGCGCATTCGATGGCTTGCCGTCACAGAATGTTTGTATTCTATGATGCTCAATTTTCTGACATTAGGCGCTCTCCCTGGGCCAAGGAAACCGCGACCACTCAACTCATCTTACGGCCGATCATGAATGAATTCTGTAGGGATTTCTTCCGGGGACGCTTCCATTCGAGCAGTCGAGCCGCTCAGGTCCACTCTCTTCGATATACTCACATTCGGCCAGAATCGCGCGCGTAGTCTGAGGAGCCAAGTCATTCTGAAGTCGCGTGCCGCTACCGCTTCGATCGCTGCGCGTTCTTGTTACGCGTATTCAGCCCGCGATGAGATCATTCAGTGGAAAGATCTGAGGCTATCCGCTGCTCCCGGATATTCGCGACACGCAGACCCATCCAGGGGTTGCCACTCGATGGTGAGTGCGAGGACGCGACAACCACACATGGCTCAGCTCCGATGTTTGACTTGTTGACGGCAATCGGTGGCGTTCCGCTTCTGACTTCGTCGGACTTGAGCAGATGCGAGCGACTGAGGGACTCAAGAGAGGCATATACGGGCAAGGGAAAGAGAAATACGAAAGCGAATCGTTGGATCGGGTGTCCATTCTCGGTTCCTAGGATGTATAAAGTTGGTCTCAAGATTATTCCCATTTCCTCCTCATTTACGTGGAGAATTCGTTCTCGGCTCGCGTGTCGGGTCGAGGGACCCAGCGGAGAGATTCAAAGATCGAGAAAGGAATTATTTCTGACCCTAGAAGCTCCGAGGGGAGCAAATCTCTTTATTTCGGGAATGGGGGGAAGAGGGTCCATCGAAATTGGACAGACTCGAAATGGTGATCGAAATTCAACCCTGCTCTCACTTCTCGCGGTCTTGCTCCCTGCTGCAGATCGATGGATACAATCTGCAGGTCCACTCGTCAGCTCAAGTCCTTAGCAGGCGTTAATAATTTTTCCCGATAGAACATCGACTCGGCACTGTTTCGGACATTCGAACTATGTACTCGACGATATTATGATACCGTGATCTTATCATGATTGTCCTACTGTATATTCGGTGTTCTGACGCTTGAGTGATATCAGCGCGATACGCGATGCTTCGTTTCGCTAGGTCGCCACTGGCAATAAACGGCTTTCGTATATAGAGGCTCCAAATCAAAATCGTTGGTGACGCTCACCACTACGGCGACTCCAGGAACGATCTCCCAACGTAGCACCAGCAGGGCGAAACGACACGGCCGAGATACCTTTACGACTCGCGCCATGAGCTATCGAGGAGAACCGACTGATACTTAGCTCAAGTCGAGGTTGCAATGAAAGCTGATTGGGCAGTTCCTTGATGTAATTGATTGATTTGGACACAGCGGACATCCCCATTGTTCATCTATCATCTCTGCATCGCCTTTCGGTGATCGAGCGCTCCGAGCGATCCGGACCCCCGTATGGTAACGCTGACCTGGTCCTGAATGGGCGGCGCTGCATCGGAGCCGGTCGACGACCACCTCCGTGGTAACCATAAACGGCTGCCGCGTTGTTTTTTCCCTTAAGGCCCAGATGAAGTCTTCCGACAAAAGGCGCGTGTACTCGTGGACTCTTCCGCTCTTGAGCCGACATGTACATATACCGAAACCGGTACACAGACGAATGTTAGCACTGCGCCTGTGGAGAGAGCTGTCCCGAATAAATAGCTCCTGAACATACCGTTCGCTATGTAGCTCCTCTACAGTAACGCTGAAGCTTCAGTGGCTTCTCTGCTCCCCTGCCCTCGATGCCTTTCAACAAGTGTTTATCCTTTCAGGAGGATGGGTTGGAAGATTGCAACTACGCGAATACGCAAGTCTCGTCAATGAGGGTTCCACTCACATGGCTCTCTCTGGACGAGCATTCTTCGTAATGAGGTCCAATCGACCCGTATCGGTATGCATGCGGAAGTCCATCCTCGAAGAAGTCCTGGATTCATCTGGAGCAGGAGCGAGTCCGGAGCTTGTCCACCGATGAAGCTCCCCAATCTCAATGCGGCCGCAGGTCCGGAATCCCAGATCTGTAGTGGGTACCGGAAACCTTCGAGTCGCCACACAGGAAGGGTCCCGAGCTGTGATCTCCATGCTCGAGGGAGGATCCACAGACAGGTCATGTACTCCAAGGATCCCGGCGACGGATCGGGGTCGCTGTTCAGCAGCGAAACCCGCAGGCAAAAGTGGGTTTGTGGGTGAAAACGTGCGACAGTATGTGCGATCGATGGACAATGAGCCTGCCTCCGAATCCGTTGGGCACCAACGTCTCCTCGGAATAGAATAGTTATAGAAGTATTACACTTGATCTATATGCGTGTGTTCGGATTGTAAATACTAAGCAGCTGGCGAGGGAGGGAAACCTTGATGTAGAACGAGGCCTGGAAACATCTCATCCCGCCAAATTGAATCTGGTCCGTTTTTTCCCATGTCACACATGCCGGACTGGTCCATGCCGGAAGGGAGCCTAGGCAGATTGCGAAACTGAACATGCTGCCCAGTCCTGATCTGCTTCGTGCGTAGCGAAATACCTACACGTATATGCCGAATTTCTCCTGAAAGGGGGGCATATTCGCTCAAAGGACGAGTACGATGCCGTCATAGGTCAAAGCTCTACGTTGTGATTCCACCGGGCGCGCCCCAGGCAGAAAACGAAGCTCGCATACATTAATCCGAAACCCGATTCTCGGAGTCTCGATGTTCGATGCGTCGCCATCGCCGACGAGCGGTTCGCCCGTTTCCGAAGAAACGCCACAGGAAGACGCCGACAGCCATCATGGCTCGGGAGACGACCGGGAATCATTGGAACCGTTCGTCGCCTTCCTCCACGACCCGAGTTATTCAACAGAATTTTCCACGCTTCAACAGGACCATTTGCAGATGCGAGTCCGCTATCTCATGGAAAGCGCGCTGCTATTCTCATGTGTCCTCGGGGTGGTCCTCTTCACCCTCCTCTTACCGTATATTCTCTCGAGCCTCCTCCCCTTTACCGAGACGAACGGGAGCGTCACCCCCTTGGAGGCCGCGCTCCAGACAAGTTGATTCGATAGAAATGTCACGCAAAGGGAGAGCTGGAGTGAATGGGTAGGTACCTGGGGATCAGAATCAAAGCGGGAGCCTACATGTAGATGGAAGACACGAAGCTATGACTTCTGGTTTCGCGGTCGAAAATATCGTGTGTCTTGTGACCAATGTCGTCTAATAAATGAGTCGTTACACATTGAATGCGATGGAGTCTGGGGATGGTCACACGCTTCGATCTCAATCGCAGTGAGGTTCCCGTTTGAGCTAGCTCCTGCTCGAACACGCCGTGCGTGACGTATCGATTCGGAGGAGTTTTAGAGTTTTAATTGGAACCGACGTCGTCACCTGCAGGACTGAACGGTGGCCCCCCGGTTTCCCGCCGACGGGTTTGAATAAAGCGCGCGGCACAGGCAGAGCCATCATCCTAGACATCACCCCATGTCGATGGCTGTCTTGAAACACATTGCTTTGTTTACATCGTGAAGCTATCGTTTTGGAATAATAACGTTTTCACTCAAATCAACCTCGGAACCTGAGTTGCAAGTTGTAGGAACAGCCGGTGACCTCACTGCACGACCGCGAGAGCTTCGAAGCAACCCCAGAGATTCGGTTTACCGTAAGGGGTCTGCATTCTTTTCCCAGCACATCTGTTCCATCGGGATCTCATTTGCTCTCGATACTCCCCGCATAAGAACAATATGATAAGGAGATCTTCCACCATGGAAGAGACCATAGCTCCGAAAATCATGAAGGAGGGTGCTCCGAGCCCAGCCTTGGATATCAAAGGTAAGCACGGCCTGGGCGCCATTGATGCCCTCGATGAAATTCTAGCCGGCGAGTCATAGGCTCGGAGTCATGGTTTCCCCCCATTTTCCTTCCAGCCATGATGGAGAACGCTAAGAAACAAATCGAGCTGAAGAAGAAGCAATTGTTAGAGACACAAAACAAGACTCATGTCCCCAGTCCTTCCGTTCAAACCTCTTCCGGTGCCTCGAGTCGTATCGAGCAACTCAAAGCTCAAATCGAAGCTCGGGCAGCGATCAAAGGTAAACCTTCAGATGCCTAACATGTAATGTTCAATCTCACCGGCCCGGAAATCTTTCCTGCCTCATGACTCGATTGCGTCAAGCGTGTTCTTACCTCCGTCCGCAGTTCCCGGCTTGGTGGGCCTCCCCTCCGCTCCTGGTCAACCCACCCAACCTCTGGGACCAACGCCGGTCATTCTCGATGCTGACGGGAAAACCAGAGATGCGATGGGCAGAGAGGTCAAGCTGCCGTCATTTCAACCTACGTCCCTGGCCAATATACGAAAAATTAAACAAGAAAAGTAAGCTATCGCGGGAAGGATATCAGGCTACTCGACCGCCTCTGCGGTTTTTCGCGTTGTCCGACCCAGTCGCTCAAACGTTTCTTGCAGGTTCCAGCAAATAACTTCGGCGGTGAAAGAGGAACCTCAGGACTCTTCTTTCTTCGACCAGCGCTTGGCCTTGAAGCCGTCGGCCCGTTCGAAAAAGGCATTCAAGTTCGTCGAAAAAGGAAAATACGAACAGCTGGCGGACAAACTGAGAGCGAAGGCAAAATTAGAGAAGCTACAATCAGACATTACGAGCGTAGCGAAGCGAACCGGGATTCAAAGCGCCACGACGTTAGCTCTCATCGTCCCAAAGAAGGAATTCGTCAAAGGTGAGAATCGCGGTGTGCCGCCTCCCCGGCCCCCCTTCCCCCTTCGCCGCAGGATACGTGGTGTCGTAGTGTACTCGCACCGTGACGATATTTGAACTGGCATCCCGATGATCTAATAACCCTCGGCCATTCTCTTCTCATAGGAGAAACTCCAGAAATCGAATGGTGGGACAATCTTCTAGTAGAATCCTTCGACAAGATCGACGACGTTCACGGAATCACGAACCTCGTCGAGCATCCGATACAGATGAAAGCCCCTACTGACTCGAATAAGCCCGTGGTCCTGCCTGTGTTCCTGACGAAGAAAGAACGCAAGAAACTGCGACGACAGAATCGACGAGAGGTTCAGAAAGATAAAATGGAGCGAGTGCGTCTCGGTCTGGATCCGCCTCCGGAACCGAAAGTGAAAATGTCGAACATGATGCGGGTACTGGGTCAGCAGCAGGTGCAGGATCCCACCAAAATCGAAGCGCATGTGCGGCAACAGATGGCGAAACGACAGAAAGCTCACGAAGAGGCTAACGCCGCCCGGAAGCTCACCGACGAACAGAGAAAAGAGAAGAAAACTCGGAAAATTCAGGAAGACACCTCCTTGGGGGTACACGTAGCTCTCTATCGGTTAGTAGATGCGTCACGAAGTCTGAGGTCCCACTTAGGCCTCGATAGCGCGACTTGGGTGGGAGTCGTTCGGCAGCGTCGCTCAAGCTTATGAACTCGGTGACTGATTTCGTGCATTTTCAGAACGTTGAGTTTAGCATCGCAGTCGAAGCGTTTCAAGGTCGAGACAAACGCGAAGCAGCTCCACATGACGGGTTGCGTCCTCCTCTTCAAAAATGTGAATTTGGTGATTGTCGAAGGTGGACCCAAGCAGCAGAGCAAGTTCAAGAAAGTCATGCTGAGTCGAATCAAATGGTCCGAGGATCTGGTTTCGAGGGACGGAACCGATCAGGGGGAGAAGGTGAGACACGTACAAACGCATTGTCACCGTACATCATGCTCGCCCCTGATCCTCGAGTTAGAATTATCCAGACTGCTCAGCGGATCGCGATGAATGAAATTATGATTTATTTTCGCAGGTCGAGAATCAATGCGTGCTGGTTTGGGAGGGTGCGGTCAAGAATAGGAATTTCGGGGAGATAAAGGTCAAAACAGCTCAGAACGAGATGCAGGCTCGGGAACTGTTCAAGAAGCACTCTGTGGAGCAGTATTGGGACCTCGGATTCAGCACAACAGTTTTGGCTCTCGCAGAAACGAACTAATTGATATTCACTGTGACTGTAAATACGGACTTCCCTCTGTTTTTGGGAGGAGAGTTGTCAAGAATGAAAACCCGTGCGAGTATGGAGACAATTATTGATCATAGGATAATTATACTTTGATCCGCTTCTGCGATTACTCGGGCAGATCGAACATTTCACGAATTTCTGTACACTTCTCGAACATCTGCAGCGACTAAGTTCTTCGGGGGAGCGTGAAAACGTGATTGTTTCTTCCCGGAGATGAGCCAAGCAAGTCACAGAGGCGGATGCTTTATTAAAATGAAAAATATTTCTATTCATCAGTCCCTTCATCAAATGTAAAGTATGCTCACAAGGGGATCCGGAACAATCTTACGGGAGAGTCCACGCCCCTGAGGTCTTGGCGGAAGTTTTTCGCGCGATGAACAGTAGAATATCTAGATGTACGTAATGGACGATACGATTAGTACCGCAACGATCGTCTGGGACCGCGATAAGTCGTCAACGCAGAAGAAATATCTAGTTCCGACGCCAGACATTGTTGTTGCGCATGGGAGGACGTCTCATTCCGCGTCCTGGGCCTCCACGACCTCGCGGAGGCGGATGACCTCCCTGCATGTGAGGAATTCCCGCATGTTGCCATGTGATTCGCCGCGGGCGGTTCTGGCTCTCTGCGGGTGGGGCGGGGTTATCCGCAGATGGCTGCTCTTCCTCGGCGTCCTGAGGCGCTTCGGACGAGCCTCCCGCAGGAATATTCTGCTGAGGATTGGTCGGTACATTCCGCACCTCTTGATTACTCTCCTGTTGAGTCTCCATTGACGGTTCCTGATTGCTCTGAGGCTCGGCGGTGCTCGGCGTGAATGACGAAGCCGTGGTTTGGAAGACGAACGAAGAAGCGGCTCCGTCCTCACCAGAAACCAGGGTGGGGGTACAAGGCACAATGCCATCGTCAGCTCCTGGATTGCTCAGAGTCGCTAGAGGTAATCCCTGCTGTTCAACGAGTGCCTGCTGATCCCCAGCCCCGTCGTCGTTGGCCAGTTCGAGAACGAGATCCTCCTCAGGTGCGTCGGCCTCAATCGCTTCTTCCTGGGGCACTTGCTCCTCGGCGGCCTCCTCCTCGGCCAATAGAGCCGCGGCAACCTCCTGTGGATCCGATAGGAACGCCTCGGTTCTAGCTCTCTTAGCTTCTGACGTATCGTCATCCGTAGAGTCGGTAGGCACGGTTTGAGCTCGTTTGATGCCTCCCTGGGTTCCGCTGGGACCCGGGGCTCCACCGACGAATCCTTGGGTCGAACCGGAGCCTTGACTGGGACCGGCGGCTTGCGATGATGAGGGAACAACGTTCGTATTTTGGCTCGCTGCGGGGACCTGGGGAGCGTTGCTGCCTGATGCGAGACTCGGAGCCCCAGCCGAAAGGCCCTGAGATCCTGAGGCCACCTGTGGAACTTGAGATCCGACTTGATTCTGAGTATCTTCCTGGATTGGGTGTACTTCCACGCGAGGTGGTTCCTGCCTGGGCCTCGCAGCCATTGGGCGGATCGATGCCGTCGGAGGTTGAGGAACCGCACGCACCATCACGGCGGCGGCTCCGATTTGTTGCTGAGGTTGCGCGACGACAGAAGCTTGTTGGGTCGGCGTGGGCTGCTGCAGCTGGGGCGGAGGCTGGAGCTGCTGCTGCTGCTGTGGCTGAGGCACGATCTGAGGTTGCGGAGTGATTTGCTGCTGAGTTGGACTGGGGAGCAGGGACGACTGCTGTTGAGGTAGCTGCTGGACAACGGTAGGCTGTTGTTGACTTTGTGGGGGATTAAGCACGGCTTCTGTCGGAGTTACAGGCTGTACCGATGACGACGGCTGCTCGCCAGGCGATTCACTTGGCTCGTGGAGTTGCTCTCGCAAGGTCTTCAGCTCCTCTTCTTGCTTCTTCCATTTGGCCTCGAATTGGCTCTTGATTGTGTTCTCACGGAGTTGGTGTTCCCGGTTCAAACCGTCGAGTTTCGCTTTTTCAGCGTCAAGCCGCTGCTGGAGTTCGCTGATCGACGTCCGAGTCTTATCTAGCTCCGCGTCTTTGACCGTTACGGCTTGCTCTTTATCGGTCGCCATCTGTTTGTACTTACGGCCGAGCTTTCTTAATCCTTCGATCATTTCGGTACTCTTCTTCAGTTCCTTATCGACGGTGCCTTTCTCTTCAGTGAGTTTCGCGAGATCCGTCTCGGCTTTCTTCAACTTCTCCTCGAGCTCCTTCAACTGGTTCGATTGTACGGGCTGTTGTGTTGCTTTCTGGAGTCTCTGTTGCCACGACTTGACTTCTTTCTTCAGGATTTCGTTCTCCTTCTGCAAGGTCTCATCCACTTCAGCGCTGACTTCGCCCGATCTGGCGGCCTCGAGCTCTTGGCGGAGCATCCGGTTGCTCTCCTGATACACCTGACAGAGTTCGACTTTTCTCAAGAGTTCCGCATGCTTTTCCTGCGTGAGGAAAACACTCTCATCGCTCTGGCTACTCTGGACCTCCTGCGCTCTCTTCAGCTCGGATTCGGCTCGGTCCAGCTTCAGTTTGAGTTTTCCGTTCTCAGCCATGAGCGAATCCAACTCCGCCGACTTGAGCTTCTGTTCCTGCCGTAGGAACTCGATCACGGACGTGAGCTCTTCTTTCTCAATATCGTTCGCGAGAACGAAACTCGTCGCCTCGGCCGGTCCCAGACGATCGAGGAGCTCGTCGTATTTGGTGCGGTGCTCCTGAAGACGATCGTTGAGATCCTTGATTTCCTGCTGGAGTCGACCCACTTGTTGTCGGAGCGCGTTCTCCTCCTGTTCCGATCTCGTTTGGCCCGCGGTTGCGATGCCACGGGCTTCGTCCCGCTGTCGTTCGGCTGTTTCGAGACGAGCTCTCAGATTAGCGGTTTCTTCCACCTGCTTCGCATGCGCCATCAACTCTTTCTCGAAGCAGGCGCGGCTCTCCGCTAGCTCCGATTCCAATTTCCGAATGGTATCTTGATTGGTACTCGATTCTAGCAACAGACGGACTTCGGTTAATTGGGACTCGGTCTCTTTGAGGAACGCCCTAGTAGCAGACAACTCATCTGTCATCTTGGCCAATTTCTCTTCGGCCAATTCCTTTTGAGCTTGGAGTCGCGTACTTCCCTCGAGGGCCTGGTTCAGCTGTGAATTCAATCGCTCCTGGTTGGCGGCATTCGCGTCTTTGGCTTCTTTCAAGCACGTCTTCAGCTCCTTGAGCATTTTCTGCGTACGGGCGTTGCTCTCTTTCTCTGCGTTCACTTGCTGTTCGAGGGCTTTGGTGAGCACTTGGTATTTGGTCAATTGATCCTTGTACGATACACAACACAAGTTTCCTGACGAGGCTGCGACGGTGGGTGTGCTCTTGGGCGGCGCACTCGAAGCCGGACTCTTTTTAGCGTCAACCAGGTCCGCTTCGGCTTTGCTCAGTTTGTCCTTGAGTTTGTCTATCTCCTTCCGAGCCTCCTCGAGCAGTTTTTCTTTGGCTTCAACCTCTTCTTGGCGTCGCCTCTGGAATGTTTCCTCCATCTTGCCCAATTGTTTCTTGACATCCTGGAGCTCGACAATGATATGGGCCTGCTTCATGGACTTATTCAATAGATCGGTGTACTCGGCGCTGATCGACTGGTACTGCGATTTGCTCGAATGGAGTTCGCTCTGGACGTTGAGGAGACGCGTTTCAAGACTCTCGATCTTCGAGTCTCTGTTGTTGATGTAGTCCTGCAGGTCGCGAGCGATGCGTTCCTGCGATTCGACGTTTGCGAGCAACGACGCATTCCGTTTTCGGAGCGATTCCGTCTCTACTTGAGTTGTTTTCAGTTGACTTTCCAGCTGGCGGTAGTTGAGACGCGAGCTCTCAAGCTGAGCTTTCAAACCCGCGATTTCGGTCTTCTTCTGACAGATTTGGTTCTGTAGCTCCTCGAGCTTCGCCTCCAGCGACGAGATCTTCTGATCCCTGAGGAGGAGAATTTTTCGAGATCAATCGATTGAGAATTCGTAGTCGAAAAGGTTTTTTTCCCGCTGGAGACTCATGCAACGAATCAGAGAATGAGGCTCACTTTTCACCGCGCATCTTCTCGAATTCTTGAACGAAGCTGTCGATGTCTCTCCTATCACGTGTGTCGCTCTCGTCACGTTCTTTCTGAGCGACGTTCTGACCCCGGATGGCGGCAACCATTTCGACCTGACAGTCTCTCTCGTCCAATAGCTGTTTGACTTCTCTCTGGAGCTGGGTCACCAGACCCTCCAGTTCGAGCGAACGCTTATCTGGAATGAATTCGAGATTCGTAGGAATCCAACGTTTTCGGTCCCTCCAGAAAGGCGGAGAATATTACGCGGCACCTTGATGATAGACGGTGCGAGACTCCTTCTCGTACCCGAAAGGCAAACCCATTCGCTCACCTTCATTTTCGCGCTCCTCAACGATACTCTCGAGTTCCCTGACAGCACTGAGTAGCTCTGCATTCCGCTCCTGCAGTTCTCGAATGGAGGTGAAAGTCACCAGGCGATTGCTGATGACATCAGTAACGCTGAATTCTTGGATGTCGCGCGCGTCGGTGTCGAATCGATTCTCCACCTGCGCCATGAGACATTGCACCTGTCTGCTCAGGTCACGGTTGTGTTTCTCGACACGTTCAGCTATGACACGATGTTTCGTCGATTCACGAACGGCAGCGTCCCGTTCCTCGAGCAGACGGTCCCGTTCGGCGTTCAGGATGGTCATTTGCTTCTCTAATTTCTCTTTGTCGCCGATCATCCGTTTGAAAGCGGTGTCTTGGTGTATGATGTTCTCAGCGACAGCCTCCATCTGGGAAAAGCTCTTCCAGATTAGGAAAAGGAGAGCTCGGAGCACTCCCCGCGAAATCAGGCTCCCCGTCAATCTGGCCATGCCCTGAAAGTGCGCTCATCCGATACACAGACCTCTTTCGTTAGCTTCCGAACGGTGTGATTGAGCATGGCATTGTCTTTCTGCAGAGCGGCCACCCGGCTATCGATGTCACTTCTCTCCTGAAGCGCAACCAGAGGATCGCGCTCTTCTCCCGGAGTTGCGACCAGCTCCCGGGTCTCTGTCAACTGTGTCTTCAACGTCTCAGCTTCTTTTTCCTGCGTTGGAAAAGTCAGGATCAATCTGTCAAGTCTCTCTTTGAGCGAGGAATCCGAAGGCGAAAGGCGATCATGCATTTCGAATTCACTTTATCCATTCCTGAAGTGCGTACCTTCTCTGTGAGGGCTGCACGCAGTTTTGCGACTTCGAGTTCGATCTCTTGTTTCTGATTGCCTGCTGTCTCGTTCTGTCGCTGGAGCTCGTTCGTCGCTGCGAGGAGTTTCTCGATCTTGATCTTGTACTTCTCCTCACCTGGAATCGGCGAATACTTCAAATTATAGGATCTCGCGATTAGCGAGAGAGTCGGATTTCGGGATAGACGATGCGATCGGACGTCAGAGTTCAGCGTGCATCCGCCGACTCACCAATTTTGTAAGTGTCGGTGAGACGTTTCTGAGCCCGGAGTTCGGCTTCCCACTGAGACTCGATCTTCGATATATCTTCCTCGACCTTGCGCTTCTCCTGCACGATGTCTTGGACGTTTTTCCGTTCGGCGGATAGATCCTCCCTGAGTTTCTCGAGCTGGAGAGTAGTCTGCGAGAGCGAGTCTTGAAGATCCTCTTTTGCCGATTGCAGCGCGGCAACTTCTTGATACTTCTCTCGTCGCAACTTCGCGCATGCATCTTGAGCCCCTTCCAGTTCACTCTGCAGCTGATCGACACGCTTACTCAACAATTCGTTGGCCGCCTCGAGACTCGCGCTCTTGTGTTGCAATGTCACCACCGTCAGAGAGGACTCATGAGCGCTGGAAAGAATCACCAGCTCAGATCCTCCCATTCCTGGAGATTCGTTGGAGCTGTTCGCTCCTGGAGCGGGCTAAAATTACTCGGAGCCTGGATTCACAGGCAGCCCCGTTCTGTGTTGCAAGAGAATACTCCCGGAAATACACGACACAAAACTAACCTCTCCGCGGCCTCCTTCTCTCGGCGGGATCTCTCCGCGGCATCCTCCTGATACTTGCGGTATTCCTCCTCGAGATCCTTCAGACGTTGTTCGTACTTCTCGTTGAAACTCCTCAGAGTTTTCACCTCTTCCCGACTGAGCTGGAGTTCGGCTTCGAGTTGAGCCTTGGTGTTCTGGATGTCGGTCAGCTGCTGTTTGCTCTGACTGAACTGAGCTTGGACGGCGTTATAATCCTCTTGGAGCTTGGCGAGCTTCTCTTCTGCTTCGGAGACTGACGTTGCCGCATCGTTGAGCAAGGTTTCTGTCTGGAAACGTTCACCGCTCTGGAAAATATGACGGAAGGAATTAGGGTTTAGTCCTCGACGCCTTCCCCGAGAGCGTAGTGGCGGGGAATTATTTTTCTTCGGATGCTCCTCGAGCCTCACCTGGATAGCTTGAACTTCCAGCTCGTGATTCTGCCAAGCCTGCTCGACTTGTGGTTGCAAATCCAAGGGTAAGAGAGACCACAGGTCCGGGCCTAAAATCGCTTCCATAGTCCGATTCGATAGCCGCTCAGATCCAGTTTACGGATAAAAAGAGGTGCTGACCGGCTTTCTCATTAAAACACAAACTGTCTAACGTTGCCGGCTCTTCTGTATCGAGATCCTCGATCGTTTAGCAACAACATCCACATGCGGCCAAAGATAAACACAAGAGCAGACGATATCAAATTTGGCGCCGAATCTCCGGATACCTCCGTGGACCAAGCGGAAGGCTTACGCGAAGCCTCGGAGCGGATTCCTATCTTCGAGATTGCGAGATACGGGTGAATGCGAAATGGAAGTTCATCGAGCATCGGCTTACAATAATGCAGCACTCGCGACCGATCGACGCGGCACTGCTCGGCTGCGAAGTTAAGAACTGCTGAGTGGAAAGTTCATACGAAAGCGTACAGACGCTGGCAGGGAGCGCTCGGCTTTTCCGAAAAATCAGCGGCACGTCGCGGCGCCAGTTCATTCGATTATGGCAATCCGAATCAAAGTAACTCAGTTTGATCGAGGGCCCGATATGATCTAGCTTTCACGGAATGGACAACCCTCTGAGCTGAATTTATTTGAGGGTTCCTTCCCGCAGTCCTTCAGGCTGTTCTGGGAGGAAGTCCGGGTTCCAGATCAAACTTTGGATTCTGCGGCCCGAAGTCAACTGGAGTTTTGCTGCAGCTTCAACTTGCATACGCTTGACGGTCGAGTTCCGACAGTCGGTGCGCGCGGAGAGGCCCAATCTCTATACCTGATCCACGATTTTGAGAGCATAACATAGTTATATATTTTGAGTGTATTCTCTGAAGTCCGATTCCCGGAGGAACACTCCGTGAGGCATCCGATTCTTGTAAGCCGCGTTCCGAGTGGGGGATATTTCACCCAGAAATGGCATACGGCCATGAAGTCCCATCGGCGGAGTATTCTTCATTCGTTCCTCGAGCATTCATCCCGTGAAAGCGGACAGCCACATCTTGGGAAGATCACGGGCGACTGTTCTGACATTAACTTCCGATGATAACTTCCATTAACTTCCATCCGATGAGCCACGTGAACAAACGGAAAGACCATGAATCTCAGCGGAGCCGAATTCCGACTCACTGATGGCCGATATTAGGCCGGTTGTTTCCCATCATCCAGGCAGTTCACCGTCTCCGAGTCAGGAACTTCAAGTCAGAGGCGACTGCCTGATTGCTAGACATGAGCTCCCAGAACGGATCTCCAGAAATCCGTGAGTAATTGGCGAGAAACTAGCGTGAAATATCGGGATCAGCTACTCGAGGTCCGGTACAATCTCTAGAAGCCGAGCTAGTGTCACGGTGATTTTTGATGGAGCACGGCGGGCGAGCTGCCTTGCCGGTAGCTCGCGCCTGGATGCTCGTACTGAGTGAGTGGATGACTGGGAACGGACTTACACCTAATCACGTCAAGACCGAATTTGTGTAATCCTGCCGGAAGAGTCCAAAGCTCAGTCGCTCGGGGATAACCGCCCATCGACGCAACTGCTCGATGCATAACCAATCGTGCTCATGCCCAGCAATCGAATGTTGCGAGTCGTACATATGTAAGGACTCACGCTCCAGACAATGAGAAGTTTGACTCCCATATCGCGATCCTAGCAGAGACGGGGGACTAGCTCCTCACCGGACGAGGGCTAGTATTCTTTCTGCCATTATGAATTCACAAAAAAAATTACTTGCTACCAACTTATGGCACGAGCTACAATACAAGCTTCGAGGAGGTCCCGACTCCGGAGAACAGGGATATGAGAATGATTAACTCAGCCTGCACGGACCAACTGAAATGCAGTCGGCACTCTGGAAGTCAAAGATATATGTTGTATCACAACAATCTGTCCGTATCAATCGTATCCACATGAATCACTACGCCACAGCGATCATAAGACTCATGCAGGCTATGTTTCGGAATTTCGAGAGAGTCCCAATCCCAGAACGAGGGCATGGAAGATCGGGAAGCTCTCGCTGCAGGCAACAGGGGCAATGATGTGGAGGAGTACACCAATTCACAAATCCATACAGCTAGTCGACGAAATACTGCCGCACATCACCAACTACATTGGCAACGCTGCTGCGATAAATTGATAGGGCGGAAAACGAACTCCGCTGCTTTCTAATCCCTCCAGCTAGGACGATGTGAAGCATTGGCCTAGCAAGAGACACCTCACCGTAGCACCTATCGGAGCCGTTCCACGCCAACGCCCCCTCCTACGTCCGTGAGACAGCCCGGAAGGCTTCTAACGGAGCAATCCTTGTTGCAAATTGCTTCGATCTATTGGACTGCCGATATCATTGGGAAAAAATCTGATCGGGTACAACGTATCAACACCTCAAATCGAAGGAGCACAAGTCGTATGCTGCGACGGATGTTCGCCAAAGCGAATATTTTCCGTGTTGCTGGAAGATTTGACGAATTTGATTGTGAGATCAGTTCACGAGTCCTCATACCATTGACGCGAAAGTTCCGGTTCGAAGCACTGAATTTCTCCCAGAATAGCAAAGCTAGAGATTTTGAAGTCCTTCCAGTCCCACAAGGATGGGATGAATATTCTGGATCTTGGTTCGGATCGACCGACCGGCGAAGGAACTGGCAGAGAATTCTTTTGCGCAGGACGGGAGTCGAAAGTTTTTGTATTCCCAACACGGGCAGACTCTGCGGATTCCGCCGTTCGCCTTACTTAGTGCGAGTAGGTGCGGTCGTCATTCCGGTTCTCTGGCAATGCCTTGGATCAAATCTGGATTTTCCTCTAATGGAATCTATCCGCAGGATGGAGGAAGGTTCTTCCTGGTAGCTCACTCGTGGGAGGCATCGAACGTTCAAAAGGCGTCGGGTTCTTTCCGGGTGACGCAGGGCCCAACGCACAAGCTCGTGGTCGCGTCGATTCCTTCCATTGAGGGGGTTCGACTTGACCCCGGTTGTGGGACGAGAGATTCTTCTCGGTGCTCGCAATGTCTCCCATTCGCTGATATCGGTTCGGACTCGATTCTTTCAGGACCATGTCGAGCGAATTCGCTTCCGAAGGATAACATCCCTGGCAAAAGCACCCGGGATCTACATGAGAGGAAACGATCACGAGTCCCGCAATCTTCACCGATGAGCATCGGGTTCATCATCGGACGGCGAATCGCCCCTCCCCCCCTCGCGGGGGTTCCTGCTCGACCCATCTATTAGCCGCCATCACTCCATCTCTTCCACTTCCACATGTATTTACCGAAATCCGGCAGCATCGTTTGCCCCCATATCTCTCGTAAGTGAGCGAGCGAGCGAGGAGACGGGTAAGCGAACGGGCGAGGAGAAACCAGTGAGGCTTTGAGCGGAGGGTATGTGCGAGTATAAGCGGGTCTGTGTACGAGCGCCCCCCGTGGGCGGTGTCTCCACGATTCATTGGCCCGCCTCAAACGTTGCCATGGGGACTGAGTGTTACTCGGTCCCCTCTAAGTGAGTGAGCGGGTGGGCACAAGAGACTGACTGACTGAGTAAGTAAGTACATCACACTTAATTTCGAGGCAGGAACGGAGGAAGTGAGCCAAGAAGAGGGGAACCACTGCCGACTCGAGGTAGACGTGAGCGTTCGCCGCCGAATCCTCGTCTTTTGGGTCGGATTGCGATTGCGTAATGGCGAATGACTCGATGCAGCTCCAATCGCGAGAGAAGCTCCGAATCATCGGTAGTCTGCCTTCCCGCAGATTCCGGCAAGCGGCGGTTTTCGTCGTCTCCAACATTACGTCACGGGGAGCGTCTGGCGGCCCTCCTCCACGATAACACAACTTCAGGGTGGAACGCTCAATTTTTTTTCGTCGACACTAGTTGGATGCCGATTTATCTCAGCGCGCTATTCTGAGTCTGCAAACTCTCTTTTGCACGACGTGGGGTCAAAGTTCCGACCGTGGTAATTGCAGTAAAACTATGTGATGAGCGAGGGCGAGGAGGCTTTTGGCTGAGCTGCGCTCGTCCGCTCGTCCTCCCGCACTTGAAATGCAGCTTATCGCCTAGCGGAGCTTTCTTCTCTGTTAACATGCAAATTGGCACCGCTGCTCAGTTCCCCAGCGTGCAAGCATGCATGCGTGTCTATCTATCTACCTATGTAGTCGACCGTTTGCCAGACTACCTTATGCTTTGCCTGTAGCGCCTATCCAGCGAGCGAGCGAGTACACTTAGCTGTAACCGAATACGCCTGTCGACACACGAGGAGGAGTTCAGTCAGACTCCCCAACATGCCCGAGCGCTTGCGTAGCTCCCTCCAGCCCTTTTAGTTTATCTTAATTACACTCCCTTTAATCTTTAATAAAAGGTGGACCGACCACCGGCACTATCTCTGCCACACCAGGATCTCGCATCGCTACTAATCCCAGCTGTGTTATCTGATCCCGTTACAAGATAAATCCCGATAAGACAATCTTGCTGAAATGTTTCAACAGGGTGTTTTATTATGGCAGGGTGCAACGAGGCGCACGAGTCGCAAGAGCTTGTGCCCAGCCGTTGATCCACCCGGATCACGGTCGAGATTCCCTTTCGCTGAAGTGTCCTGAATGCTCAAATCGACGAATTTTCATCGGTGTCTCCGCACAAGGATTTCTCTGCAGGAACGTCGTCACGCACTTTACGGCCTCCGATCTAGCGGAGTCTGGCTGTCGACCAGAGAATCTACGAAAACTGGTCGCCAAAAGTCGTGGTGGTGCCCGCTTCACATCGTCTCGACTCCGGGGACAAAGCGAGAGCGCTTGGGACAGCTTGATTCGAGTGGAGTACCTTCGCTCGATTCGTGTTTCTCTTCCCTGCATCACTCACTCAGATTGAGAAACAACTCCTGAACAGCGCCAGCGGATTAGTTCCACACTCCTGTGCCCGCTCGTCTAACATTCCCGATCGTCTCTGTGAGCTTCTTCCCCCCTGATTCAGTCAGTCAGCAACCAGCACCAGAACGCCACCTGAGAATCGAGGCAGATCCCACGATCGTCGTTGAATCTAGAGCTAAGCGCACGATAAGATCAGGATTA